AAACACTTGTTGTATTTCACTTCTTGTATTGATGTTCTTTAATAAAACTCACTTCAATAAACTGTCTTGATAATACTGACTGATTGACTTCCATATACTGACTGAATTACATGTCGGTTTACATGTCTCTTATATAGTAAAATGAACCTGTGTGAACCTGTTCTGGAAGATTCTAGATGCTTCTTTTTGATGTTTCTGGAAGCTTCTGGATGCGTCTGGATGCTTCTGAATGTTTCTGGATACTACTGGATGCTTCCAGATGCTTCTTCTGGAAACTTCTGGAAAGTTCTGGATACTTCCTTTAATTATTAAAAAACTTCTGTGACGTTGACACGGACCAGACTTTAGATAATGAAACAAACCAAAAAAGTTGCACTTGTTTTGTCCGCTGCAAAATGGCACTTATCAACACAATTCCGCCTGTGTGCTGCCACCTGTCAGCTAATTGCTCATGTCATGGCATGTTATGACTCCAGACTCCTGAACTGTTTGCTGTGGTAGTATAGTTCATTTCGTTTTTAAGAAATGTAAAATTAGAAACACTTTTTAGCATTGTTTGATGTTGGTTGCAAATATTTTGTCCAATACTGTATATAACGGGGACAGTAAGTTTTTTTAACAATAAAACAATCAAAGAATTAACTTTACAACCAAGATTAAAATAAATATCCTTAACCAAAAAAGTTTGCGAAAAAAATTTTAGTCTACCCGTAAAAGAGGTTATACCATCTCAGGAACCTGCTCGCCTTACGCAATCTTCCTCTATATAATAAATGTGTAATAATTGTATTAATAGTGAAATTACATAACAAATATGTAGTTATTTTCTTTCTGTTGTAATAAGAGTAGACGATTTTTTGTCTAACTTTTCTCTGTAACGTGTGGAAAGTGGGACGAGAAATCTTTGATTTTTTTGCTTATGTATTTTTTTATCTACCAGAACAAATATGTTGCTGTGGCCTTTCTTTAAAACAAGCAAAACTTAATACAACATTTTTTTTTTTACTGATTCTGCTGTGTGCTAGATTTCTATTTAATAAAAATTTTTTAATAACAAATTGAAATTTTATACTTGAAAGAAAATAGAGAAATTAAAGTGAGCTAACAAGTTTTCAGCAATAAGAATAAAACCACCCATTTGGCAACTGTTCTATATTTTGGTGTTTGGTCTCCATAAACTTTTTTGAGTTCATTGGATATCTCAGTTGATGGAATTCCAAACTGAGCACAAGTTTTAATATATGCTCTATATTTATATTTATTCATTTTATAATATAATATAATATAAATCAAATGCTGTTTTCTTGTTTTACCAAGAAATATGAGACTGACGACAGTAGATGTTAAACTATAACAGTTATTTTTCATTAAAGCATTTAATGAAAAACAAAAGTTAAATCTTTTACAGAAGTTGTATTAATAACATCTTGATCTAGTACATTCCAAGTTTTTTCAACACGATTGGTGAAGAAAATATAGCTAGAAAGTGAGTTTCTTACTTATTGTCTTTATTTTCTGATCATGCCCTCATGTAGTATATGTTATTCATTCAGGTTGGTTATGCCAGTTTATTTTATATATATTGTTTTGAAATCTAAACATATGAATTAGATAACTTCGCAGCCTTCAACCAACCAATTTTAAAAGTTCCATATTTTGTATCTATTGTTCATAGTTAATACCTTCTGGGTAACAAATTTTAGTTGTTCGTTTTTGTACTCTTTCTATAAGATTAATATCTTTAGCGTAGTATGGGTTCCATATTTAAAGTGCAGACTTGAAGTGAGGTCGCACAAGTGATATATATATATATATATATATATATATATATATATATATATATATATATATATATATATATATATATATATATATATATATATATATATATATATATATATATATATATATATATATATATATATATATAATAGTTTCATACAATAAAGTTATTTTTTTAAAGTGCTTTTACTAAAATTGAAATAAATTTTTGTTATATAAGCAATTTATGATTAAAAACCAAAATGTAGAAAAATGAATGCTCTTTAAATTATATATAATAATGACATAAAATTTGTTCAAATTTTTAATAATTTTATAAATACGCTCATAACTGTCGCTTGCCTTTGGGATCGTTCTTCAATTACGAAATGCCAAATTTAACTGATAGACAAAACAAAAAAGATTAAAATTTTTTTATTAAAAGAGATTTTTAATAAGTTGCACAAACTTTCCTGATGCCCTACGTATGTATGTATCAAGCCTTCCCGGGAAAGGCCTTGTACGCCCACACCAAAAGTAATATATTTAGACACAATGACCACGGCAGTTCGCATCTTTTAACTTAAAAAGCGTTTCAATAATTGGCTACAAAATGCTAAACTTATTTACTTGAAAAAAAGAAAACAATTCTTAAATCAGGAACAAAATTGTAACGAAATATCAAGTTATATAAATATCAAAATATATATATATTTATATATATATATATATATATTTATATACATATACATATATATATACACTTTACTGTTATATATATATATATATATATATATATATATATATATATATATATATATACACACTTTACTGTTGAATTAACTAACTATTAAAAATTTGAGAATATAAACCCATACAACTTTAAATCGATACTGGTAAAACAAAGACTTGGACCCAAATCAAAGCCAAACAATTATTTTAATCTATCTTAATCAAGGTTTGTGTTTCCAAGTTATAAAATTGAGATTGGGTTGTAGTCATAACTAAAGAAGCCTCCTCAATAAAAGTCGCCTTCGCAGCCTCAGGGAGGTGAATTGAAATGAAAAAATAAAAAATATAGAATTGTACTTGATACTTGGCTATGCTTAAATACATGAAATAAGGCTGAACCATTAGCAAAGAAATTCTCTTCCAATCTGACTCTCAAATCTTATGGCCTTTCTCTTCCTTCAATTCTAATTAAACAGGTTAACCAATTGTTAGACATTCAAACTACTTCAGCTTCTATTGCTCATAGTCATACCTCGATTAAACTCTTCTACAGCTTGTGATCCAGACAAAATTCCTGTCACAGTCGTACAAAATTGTTTTTCAGGACTCAATTATCTCTAAACTATTTATTAAGTACTTGACTGATTCTTATTTTCCTACTTGCTGGATAATGGCACCTGTTGTTCTATTTTTTAAAAGCGCTTGTAAACATACTGACCCCTCCAAATATTGTCCAATCAGTCTTCTTTATATTATTAGCAAGGTCTTTGAGTCTTTGATAAACATATTTCTTACATTCCAACTTTAGTCAAATAACTTGCTGTCAGACAATCAATACGTGTTTCAATCCTCTTGCTCTTCCGCTGACTTGCTAACTGCTGTGACTGAAAGATTTTATTGTGCATTAGATGGAGGCTTAAAGGCTATCACTCTAGACATATCTGAGGCTTTCGACAAAGTTTGACATGTTGGCCTTTTCTATAAGCTTGTTTCATATGGTGTATCTGGGAAATTTTTGAGATTATAAAATCGTTTTTTTTTCTAACCGCCTTAATAAAGTCATCCTTGAAGGTCAACACTCTACTTTATTTCCAGTAACTTCTGGGGTACCTCAAAGTTTTATTATTGGTCCTGTTTTATTACTTATCTACATCAATGATCTTCCTGACAACCTCACATCTAAAGTAGCTCTTTTTTCTAATAACTCAAATCAATACTAATGTCTCGACAAAAATTCTTCTCTTTTTGCTTAGAACAGACAGCCCGCCTTGTATCTGATCTTACTTCTGTAACTGATTGGGGCTTACAGTGGCTTGTAAATTTAAATTCCAACAAAACTCAGTTATTTACCTCAAATAACTATTGCAGTACTGTTGACACTCCTATTTTAATGAATGGCAACCCTCTCACTGATTCCTCTTCTTAACTTCTTCTTGGGTTATCATTTACTAATGACCTTTCATGGAAACCATATATAAAATGGATTGCTAAATTAGCATATGCTAAGCTTGCTTCTCTTCATTGTGCTCATCATTTTCTCTTTTCTGATTCCATTCTCTACCTCTACAAATTTCTTATTCATCCCTGTATGAAATACTATTGTCATATCTGGGCTGGTTTTTCTAATAATGCTTTTTCTCTTCAAGATAAGGTCCAAAAATGCATTGTAAACAGAGTTGAACTAAGTCTATATGCTAAGCTTGAGCCCCTTTCCTATCGTTGTAAAATTGCATCTCCTTCTCTTTTTCGTAAATACTATAATGGTTGCTCAATAGAGCTTGTCTCTAGTTCCATCAACCAAAACTCATTCTTGCTTGACTTGTTATTTATCAAAGTCTCATTCTTTTACTGTATCTGCCTCCTTATGCTCCAAAAACATTTTTGTCTAGCTTATTTCCCAGCACTTCAACCCTTAGGAACTCTGTCCCATCTCCATGTTTTCCTGACTCATACAACCTTCAACTTTTTAAGTCTTCTGTCAACTGTTTCCTTGCTCTATAACTCTACTCTTTTTGTCAAGCAACTCCTAACTTAATAGTGGTTGCTTGCAGCATTGTTGAGAGTAAAAAAGAATTTAAAAAAATATAGATAACAATGCCTAAATTGGTTACTTTTAAAGCTTTTGCCTGTAAACAAAGTAATGTAAAAAAATTCATTAAGTTTTATTATTATGTAATTGTTATAATAATGTAGGACAAAAATGCCATCGGTTGGAGAATTGGTAAAAGTCGCCAATGCCGATACAGATTGTGCAAAAAATGGCCAATAAAGCCAATGCCAATTAATCGCTAGTATATATATATATATATATTTATATATATAATTAATCACTAGTATATATATATATATATATATATATATATATATATATATATATATATATATATATATATATATATATATATATATATACATATATATATATATATATATATATATATATATATATATATATATATATATATATATATATATATATATATAAACACTTTACTGTTTTACATTACCAGTTTTATGTTTTGGAGACTCAAACTAATACTGCCAAATGTTTCAAATTTCACAGGATTCTAAAATTAAAAGAAGATAAATATGTAAATTATTAAAAAATGAACTAAATAATAAAAAAATTTGAGTTTTGCCACTGAAAGTGACAACATTTAAATTTTGATTTACTTTAAATTAAAATTTTTTTTATATTATATAGATATAAAACACTAATTGACTAATTTGGTAAGAAAAAGATTTCAAGTCTTTTAAGCTCATATGGTTGACTTTTTTAATTCAGGTTTAAAATCAATAGGCTGTTGTACTCTGAATATCCTGATATCACCTCATGAATGCTTATCATATTGTTTAGTTGTTTAGAAGTGATCAACATAAAAAATGGATGATAAAAACTTTGCAGGTTATATGCATCAAAATGTTGATGTACATTGATGTTTGAGTATTATTTTCAACAAAAAAGTTATACAAAATGAATTGCAGGCGAATCCTTTTCTAAATGGTTTTAGAACTGAACAATAATATTGACATAATTTTATTACAATGTATATCATTATTTGAGAATAGTAGCTTGTTAGAACAACTGCCTTTTTAAATCAATAAATAGTAATGGTGTAAAGGGTTTTTTATAAATTTATGTTATATATTAACGTTAAAAATATTTAATACAATACAAGAAAGATTGGCTTTGCCAAAATTTGGCTTTGCCAAAATTTACTATTAGTACATCAAGTAGATTTTTGAAACAAAAAAGCAAAGATATTGATAAGACAGAAATAATAAAGGTAGCAAAAAATAGGACTATTCTGATGCGACTGGAAACAAGAACAACAGGCAAAACATCTAGTGAACTTTAAAAAAAAAATCAATTAAAAATATAGCACAGCCACCTTATTATACAACATTTCAAAAGTTTCCATTGATGCAAGAACAAATTGAGTTTGCTTCAACAATGCGTCAAAAATTTTATTTTAAAAAATGAAAATAGAATTTTTAAAAATCAAACTTTTTTAGTTTTGAAATCAAACTTTTATTCATTTATGCTTAATGAGTTTCTTTGAGAAACAAAAAATTCATGGATTGCTGCTATAAAAATACTGCTCATTCATGAAAGCTTATAAAAAATAAATAAAAACAATGAAAGTCAGTGATAGAAAGCATCAATAAAATATCAAAATCAATAAACTTATTAAAAAATATCAAATTTTCAAATTAACAGACACAACACAATGTGGATATTATTGTGATATCCACATTGTGGATATTACAATGATATTGACATTTCTGACCATTTTGTTTGTGATATGTGATAAAAGATAAAAACATAAAAAAGGATATTTTGATAGATATTTAAAACTTCCATAGTCACATTTCGTTTAAAACTGACATGTTAAGAAATGTTAACTTATAAGTAATAAAATGAACTTTCTTCTTTTTTAAATTGTTGTTGTTATTGGTTACCATTTATCTTGTTATTACAAAAACAAATTTTATACATAATCAAATATGATATAACCAGTTTTATATATTTCAGAGATCAGTACAGATGAAAGCTTGCTATACCAATTAAAGCATGTGCACAAACAATTAAAAACTATTATTGAATGTTATAATTATACTTAACTAAGTTTTAAAAAAAAGTTCTTAAGCTACCTGTGACATGCATGCAAAACAAGTCATTCTGATTGCAAATGAGCCTTTAAATGGATTATTGTTTCCTTTTTGACTTGGCAAACTTTTGCAGGCGCGATTTAAGATTCGTGGGTATGCATTTAAAGGAGCCCTATAAAAAAAGCATAATAAACCGTGTGATGAAACATTTTAATACCATTAAATATAAAAATAAAATAAAAAAATTTAATTTAAAAAATACTTTAATTTTTTAACTTTGAGCAAAATGACTTGTAATAAAAAAATAAATCTGTAACAATTTTTTTTGAATAACTTTTCAGACTTGTTAGAGGCATTTTTATTTTTTATATACTGTTAAAACTTTAACACTGTTTTTTAACAACTTTAACATGGGGTGGGATGGTGGGATATGGTCTTCAGTATATTCATTAACTGATTCGGTATGGTGAAATTCCATGAAAGATCATTGGCTTTGTAAGTGAAAGGCAAAGAGTTCAAACTCATCATGCCACAGAAAGTACCTAACTCAACTTGCTTTTCTATCAAACGCACTTGCTTATCAATGTTTGAGTTATTTAATAATCCAAAGATTTATAAAATTATATATAAATATAACAATAAAATTATATATATATATATATATATATATATATATATATATATATATATAAATATATATATATATATATATATATATATATATATATAAACATATATATATATATATATATATATATATATATATATATATATATATATATATATATATATATATATATATATATATATATATATATATATATATATATATATGTATATATATATATATGTATATATATATATATTAAGGTAGATCATAATTGCATTTTTTTGTTCAAATTAGTTTGGAGATCTAAATATCTAACATCTAAATATAATTAAAATTAAAAATTAAAATTATTTTTTCCTTCCTTTGCTGCCGTCTAATTGAAAATAAGCAACTTTTCATATCACAATATATGATATATAAAAATCTCTCCTCTACAAAAAATGCAATAACTATGTTGTTTTCTGGTCAAACCTTTAAGATTGTTTGAAAACTTAAAATTTTATGCAGTAGCACGATTAGCACTAGAATAACATTTCTTATATATAAATATATAGATTATTCCAACTATTTTTTGAAGTAAAGTGTGAAATATACTTTCTAGATAAAAGTTTTGCTTTAATGTATCAGTCTCTTCACATTTCTCCAGATACAGCTGGGGCTGTTGTTGTAACTAATTGAATATTTCTTTCTACAATTTGAGAATGGCATGGAAAATCATCTAAAGTCAATTTTTGCATATTTTGTATTTTCAATGAAATCATAAATTAACTTTTTAAATTAACATAGGTGGTGTATCAACTGGGTTAAAGTTTAGAAAAGGAATTTTAAATTTTCTTACTTCTGTAGAATTAAAATCTGCATCGCTTCGCAAATTTAGTTCTTCTAGCTGCTAATTCTCTTATTTCTTTTCGTTCATATATCAACATTGATAACAAAATATTTTCTAGGTAACCATAATATGCATTTCTTTGAATGCATTTATCAACTATAACTCAATCAATTTCAGAAAGGAAGCAAGAGAGTTGAATTAAGTGGCACAAATGTTTTGCCCCTATGTAACAATGAGTCTCCAGTTTTATAAAGAACCACACTGGTGCATAAACTCAAAGAATGTAATCAGTAAGTATTAAAAGCTCGGTATATGGAGGAGTGCTTGCAACATACAAACAAAGGATTCAATTTGCTGTTGTCAGCCATCAAGAATAAACCAACGAGCCAGACTTTTTTTCTAGGGTTCCTTTCACCTCACCTATTTCTATTGCCTTGCATATTTTATAAAAATATTGTTGATCTTTGCTAATACTATTTTTCACAATCTCATGTAGAACGTTCACACCAGCATTTACGCTAGCTCTATCAGCACTAATAGCTAACACATTATCAAGTGATATTTTGTTTTCATTAAAAGTCTAAAATAGCTTTCCTAATATTTGTTGATGACACACTTGATGGAGAAACATAACCAAGAAAAATGGAATGAGGTCCTTTAACTAATGTGATATGTTCCTCAGTGATTATGTCTACTTGTTAATTAATGCTAGTTGTTGATGCACAAAGTGTTTTATCTTTTCTCCCATCAAACAAAGTTGATTTTGGGCCTACTGAACACAAGCTAACTTTGCTTTGTGTGATAATGTAGTTCTAAGCAATTGTCTTTGACGCCTTAACTTGGTTCATTCTATTTTTTTGTCATGTTTTTTTTATAATTCCATAATCTGAAAGTGTTGCAGTAGCAATTACAGCTCTAGCAACATCAGATACACCATATCTGTCATATTCTCTGGCAACTGTTGGAAACTTTATCATACTTCTGTCAGATTCACTAGCTAATTCACAGAAACCTGACAACTGATAGTCATCAACATTGCTCTGAGTGTCATTAAATAACTCCTCACCACCAGAATTAATTTCTATATCTATATCAGAAGTGATACTAACTGATGCTTCCAAACTGCTTTTACTAGACGAAAAAAAATTATTGCATTTCTGTCTCTTTCTGCTTCTTACAAATGTTATGGTTAATATAAAAGTTTTATCCTTATCTAAAGGACCAATAACCATATTTCTTTAAATTCTTTGATCCATTAAAAATTTTCAAGCTCAAGTAGTGGCACTTGATATTCTTGGGCATGTGCATTTACTTAAATTAAGACAATGACATACTGCAATGTCAAACAAAATTAAACTTTTCATCTTAGCAATTGTTACTGCTGAAAGTCTTTGATTCACCTTTTTTTTTGTGGATACTATTCTAAATTTGGTTAGTATTTTACTTTTGTTATATCATCCAATGGTAACAATTTATCGCAATTTAAAAAATAAATTTAAAACAAAAATTAATAAGTAATAACAATAAAAAAAGCCTAAGAAAGCACAAATATGGTAAATTAAGGTCTTTTAGCAACAAACGAAAATGTTAGGTTTTTTTTTCTTATTTAAATTATATCTTTCACGAGCAACAATTTATACTAACTTAAGTTTAATTTTATAACCAAATTATTAAGTCATTAAATACACAAATATGGTGATTTAAGGCCTATGGCGGCAAAGGAAGACACTAAAAAAGTCAAAATACTTTTTATAAAATTACATAATATTATTCAGGAGCAACAATTTATCATAATCCATAGTCAAATTTCTTTTAATGATTTACTTTAACATCAGTCTTTCACAGGGAGACATTGCACGCCTTTATATGACAAGGCAAATTATAACTTATCGTTACAATTTGACAGCGACTTTTGACATATTTTCAAATTTTTCATATGCGCAACTAAACTCACTTAAACTAATCTAAGAAAAAACTTTAAAAAAGAAAAAAAAATCTAAACAAAAATGCAAATAAAAACAATACTTAACTAAAGTATAAATACACAATATATATATACTAGCAGTAAGCAACCCGTAATATGCGTTGTTAGTAAATAAAATTAAAAAAAAAAACCACGTATAGAAAACTACTATTTTAAAATAGAAAAGCCTAGAAAATGACGTAACTCGACTAATATTAAATTAGTGTATTCATATTATCAGATATATATATATATATATATATATATATATATATATATATATATATATATATATATATATATGCATATATATGCATATATATATATATATATATATATATATATATATATATATATATGCAGATATATATGTATATATATACATATATACATATGTATATACATATATATATGTATATATATACATATATATATATATATGTGTGCAATAAAATATATATATATATATATACATATATATATATATATAAGTATATATATATGTATATATATATATATATATAAAACGGTTTTTTTTAACGGTTTTTTAGTTTGATAACGGCTCTCACTATATGACCTGAAATATCACTTACAATAAAAAATAAAAAAATAAATAGTATGAAACCACATATGATGTTTTAATGCTTATAATTACACATACTAATAAAGATGTCACTTAAATTTGACCGGTTAAGAGTTTTGAAATACAAGATTTGGAAAATAATCCGATTATTATTTGGAAAACGCGTGTACTAAATTATCAATTAATCATTAAAATTTTGAAAAAGTGTTCAAATTAGGCTTATTGTTTACAATAAGTTCTTAAATTCCTTTCGCTAACGAAAATAACATAAGACACGACATCTAAGAATTTTTTTTTTCACTTATCTAAATTACTTTTATTTTATTGGTGGCGAAAATCATTTCTTCATAAATGATTGAAGCTCTTATTACACTTTATTAATTTAATAAAGTCTATAATAATAATTATATGTAATATATTATTTTAATAATTATTTTATTTTTAATTTTATTTTAATTCACCTCCTCAAGGCCGAGTAGGCCACTACAGACGAGGAGGCTACTTATTTGTGGCTATAACCCTCTCTCAACTCTATAACTCCGAAACACGAACCTTGATGAACAAGGCCGCTGTGCGGAGAAACGAGTTGAGCGCGGTACTACCAGGGACGTGGTGAGGATCGAACTCCGAACCACTCGTTTATGAAGCGAGCGCTCTACCACTACACCACTACCGCATTATATATACCGCAATATAATAATATATAATAATTGCATTAATAACAAAAAACATTGTCTTTTAACTTTTTATTTGTTTACTTGTAAGTTTTGCCGCAAACTGAATAAATGAGGAACTTCAAATTTTAAATTAATCAGTAGAGTGTTGGTCTCAAAAAAGAGCTAAATAGATCGAGGAATTAATTTCCATGTTAATTTTGAGTACAAAATCTTTGCGCAAATTATTAAAATTACAATTTGCTAATTTTATTTACTCTATTTAAATTAAAATTTGCAGTTTTTAAAATGATTTTAATGAGCAAAATGTGCAACCATTTTTTTTCTTTTAACTTTGAATATTAAAGTTCTCAATAAATTTTTATATGATATTGTGGTATGTTACTAAGAACATTTTCTCTTCTAAAATGATTTTTTTTTTATTCAATCTTTTCATTTATTTTCTCGTAGCTTTTCCCGCCATTAGTTACAAATGAATTATTTTTAAATAAATTTAAAATTATTGTTATGCGATTGCACTTTTTTATTTTTTTTCTTGAATTTTAAAAAAATTATCAAACATCAACCTATTAAAATGGAGGCAAATCAACTCATTAAAAAGAGACAAATAACGATTTCATTTTGACATTACCTAAATCCAGTTTAAAAAAGGAATACTAATTCGTTAATTATCAAATATTAAGTTACTTTTATTTTTAAAAAGTTCAGTCATGAAGAACTATTACAAAGATTAAAATGAAAACAAAGTAAATAACAAATATGTTGACTGCCCAAATAAAAACAGTTGACCGTCAATTCCAAGGGTTAGCTGGTCAAATTGACCGCTTGCCTTCGATTTCTTATTTTACACGCTGTATAAAAGCATTTAAGATCAAATTTATTTAAATGTATCAGGATTCTAAAACATTTAACTTTTTTTTTAACAAAATTTTGTTTATCTTTACAAATTTATTAACTTAAACTATTCTTATGTTAAAACTCTTTATAGAGACTTTCATTGTCATAAAATGTTATCATTTATAAAAACAAAACCAATTTTTTATTTTTTAACGTTTATTGAAAAAAATGTACACTTAAACAATTTTTATATTATAAATTAGAAAATTTATACAACTGTCAATTATACTTTAAAAAAAGACCATTATCAGTAAATTGTTACTTAATTTAAAAGTGTTTCACTGATATAAAAACATTTGTTCAAAGTTTTGATGTAATTTTATTTCACTTAAGGTATAATAAAGAATATTTAAGCAGCCATGGCGCAGTGGTAGCGCACTTGCCTCAGAAACGTAAGATCTGTGGTTCAAACCCACCTCTGGGCAAGTTTTGCGACATCTTTTAGGAAGGAGGCGTGAACTTCCTATTAAATGCACTTCCGCAGTGCTCTGTGATAAGACCGTAAGGACTTCTTGGGGCATCTAAATCAACATTTAAAAAAAAAAAAAATTAATTTAGCATGTTTTTAAAATGTTTTTTGAAAAAGCTGTGGCCAAATCGTCAAAGCAAAACATAAAATGCCTAGTCATATAAAGAGGTGCGATCGCACGTCTTCCTGTGATACTCTGTAATATATATACAGTAGTGGTGTAGCGCTTGCTTCGTAAGCAAGAGGTTCCGAGTTTGATTCCCATCACATCCCTGGTAGTACCACGCTCAACTTGTTTCTTTGGGCAGTGGCCTTGTTTGTCAAGGTTCGTGTTTTGGAGTTATAGATTTTAGAAAGGGTCATAACCACAAATAAGTAGCCTCCTTGTCTGTAGTGGCCTTCTCAGCCTTGAGGAGGTGAATTAATAATAGGGCTGTACCGGATTTAATTTTTTCAAATCCAGCCGGAGCCGGATCTGCCGGATTTCTACTGACAGATCCGGCTGGAATCGGAGCTTGAGCCGGATTTCAAAACAAAACTACAGGAGCCAAAATCCTGTACATCCCTAATTGGTGTTAAGCATGGTCAACAATGTGGACTATTCAGAATACCAAGTGACTGCTGTTTTCTGTTAAACTTCATTGTTGTTATTTAAAAAGTTTTATAGCAATTTCTATATATAAAATAATAGAAATTCTAGAGAAATTCTATAGGCCATATGTTTTAAAAGTTTATAGTAATTCTGTTGAACTTTTTTTTCGGGATTTTGTCACTCCGCCACTGTAGTGGATTATTCAGGCTTGGTCGGGAAGCGGGAGCGATCGCTCTCGATTGCTGACCACGTAAATAGTATTTAGTTGCGAAAAGCTGGCCAGATTTTTTAGTCGTTTTTAGAACATTTTAACAAGCAAAAAAAAAAAAAAACGCTGAAGTTTAATTGGACCGATTAGAGACAATTACAAAAATTTTTTTATAAAATTAAGCGATGTTTTTTATGTAAAGTAACATCTTACGATTGTTTAAAAAGGAAACAAATATTCTTTATTAAACAAAGTTTGCAAGTTTTAGTTTTATTTAAGCTAAATAAAAATAAAAAATTAATAAAAATAAAAATAAAAAAGCTAATTTTTATTAATACCTATTTTATGTTTCACGTAGTTTGAAAAGTTTAACATATTTGAAGCAATTCTTCTTAGTAAGATAAACAAATGAAATAATTAAATCATTGAATTACTATAGACATTAAATTAACAAGATAGAAATCAACTAAAAAGGTCAAAAATACTTAATGACCAGGAAGCGAAACTGCTTCACAATATCGCTGATGATCTTTCGTGAGTGGGCTTTTTAATTGGTAATTAAAGCAGAAAAAAGTGTAACGAGTTTTTAAGAATGGCAAATGAAGCGAAAATAATTAGAGTTAGTAAACCAATATCTAGAAACTTTTCTTTATATCTAATAATTTGCTATATATATTTGTGCTCTGTTGTGACCTCAGGCGCGATGCTTGTTCATCCGCGAGTTACTTTGTATGCCTTGTTTGTGTTTAGTAACCAGAGACTTTTTATATGTGTTACATGATTAGTTTTATTAACTTTAACGATTATAACTTTATTGAAAACGCAATTATTTTTGTAAGTCTTTGTTTAAATCATAAAAATTGCTTTAAAAGATACATTACGTTAAAAAAAAAGGTAAACAAATTTACATTTACATAAAGAATACATACTTTTTAAATAAAAAAAAAAAGAATGTACTAATAAAATCTATAATTTATAATAAACTTTTAAAATTTTAATTAATATATATTTAAAACATTTATTTTTGTAAACAAATAATATATATTCTTAAAACGATTTATGCTAGAAATCTGAAAACGTAACAAATCGTAAATAATATAATTTCTAAAACATTTCAACAAGATGCTCCAAAATTTTATTTTGCTTAGTCAGCGTATTTTTTGAACCAATAGAATTAGTTTGTTCCTTAATTTGGCAGGATTTTAGTGTTCGCGAATATTCTTTTTATTCTTTCGCACCAAGATGTTTTGAGAACATTTAAGTTTATTGTTTTATGGACATACATGTTCCATGTATGTCCCTAAAACAAAAATCTTTTGTTTCGTAAATAAACTTAAATGTTTTCAAAACGACTAAAAAACCTGGCCAGTTTTTCGCAACTAAATATAATTTCCGTGGTCAGTATTCGAGAGCGATCGCTCCCGCTTCCCAACCATGCCTGATTTTTGTGTCTATTTAATTCTGGTTCTTTCGGATATTTCCTTAGCTGAATTTCAATGCCTTTTAGTAATTGTTGTTTATGTGCCCTGCCACCAGCGGACGTAGACTGAATAATTTTATCAATAAATTGCCAGAGTAATGATGATGATGATGTAAAAAAAATATTAAGCCAGCTTATTTTGGTGGATTTTCTTCACTTTTGTCAATCTTCTGTTCAGCATGCTCAGATTGACTTCAATCTTGTTTTTTGATCTGTCAGTGTTGCCTGTAATGAGGAGAATTTAGTTTTAAATTGTGAGTCAACCAGCCTCGTCAGTATATAAAGAGGTTTCTCTTTTCAATGCTTGTAAAACGCTCATCCAATCACTTGATTAGGGTTGACATCATAGTCTTTATACCTGCATCATTGTAGAATATCATGTGTCTTCTTTTCAGAATTTTTTGTTGCGCTGTTGTTTTAAATTAGACTTAGCTTATTAAATTATAAAGAAATATAAATACAAATACCAAAACAAATATGAGGTTCATAAAACACAGAATTACAAAAAAAATTTTATTTAAATAAAATATTAGGTATACATGTAAACACGGGCAAAAAAAAAGTAATAAATATTTCCCTCTTAAAGGGATTCCCAACTGCAGAGACAAGTTGTGTTCATATTAAAGAAAATGTTAAAAAAAAACATTTGGACTAAATTTTTTTGATTGAAACTAAATAATGAAAGCATACCAACAAAAAAAAAATATATATATATATATATATATATATATATATATATATATATATATATATATATATATATATATATATATATATATATATATATATATATATATATATATATATATATATATATATATATATATATATATATATATATATATATATATATATATATATATATATATATATATATATATATATATATATATATATATATATATATATATGTTCAGAACCACGTCAGAAAAATTTAACAAAAAAAAAATCGAGCTACATTGGCATTTTAGTAATTAACTTTTTCCAGTAAAATTGCAACTAAAGTTAAAATTACTGATGTTATGTTTATTTTAAATTATGTTAAATTTCTTTATTGGATTCCTTGCCTTAAAAAACCTAGGAGTATATATTTTCAGCTTTTTAGTCATAACTTTGAAACCATTTGAAATTAAATCATGAAATTGTGAAGATGTTCATAACTTATAAATATCTTTAAGTGATGTAAAAATCAGCAAAATGAGACTTAGGGTTGCATTTCACGAAAAAATTGAATGTTTTAACATGGAATTACCCTGACACCATCGGATAGTTAAAAAAAAAGTATTAAAAGAAAAAACAGTATATTTTTAAATAGATAAGATCTTATTTGATTGTTTATGTAAATTAATATATAAAAATTGTATACTTTTTAAAAACAGCAATCAATACTTCCGTTATTGGATAGGAAAAGAGATGAAGACTCATAGACACATAGACAAACTCATACATGAGCTATCACACTTTTTAATAAAAATCCAGATTAAAATATTTATACATTTGTATTTTGAAAGACTATATATATTTAAAAGAAACATATTTACATCTTAATAAACAAGTCATCAATCCTAACAAGTTTCAAGACCTCTTCTTCTATGGTTGCTATAAGAATTTGATAAAATTCATACGCATCTTGTTGGTCACCAGATATTACCCAACCATATGAATTTAATGAGCATAAAATATCTTCTGTTGAGTAGTAATCTTCATTTCCACAGTTGTTTGATAAAACTAAAAAATCATTGAAATAAATTAAAATATCAAATGGCCAATACTATACCATTATAGTTCTTTTCTCACACAATAAATCTTTGCCAGATCTTCTGTTTTTCTTTCCTCTTTATTAGTCTTAAGCAGTTAGAGACATTTTTAGAAATTGCAACATTTCATTAAAATATTTAAATTTTATGTATTCAATTATTCCATACATTTTATGCATTGAATACTCATTACCAGTACTCAAAATCTTTTAAGTATGGTAATGAGTATTCAATACATAAGGTTGCCAATCAATAAAGATCAACTTAAAAAAATTTTGTAACGTAGATTGTCAAATAATTTTTATACAGCACTTTTTGTGTGGTGTAACCCTAAATAACACACAAAAATAGCTCATTTATAAAAAAAGAAAATATTACAAATAAGTTTTAAATAAAAATTCTTACCTTATTATAATAGTGTTCTTTTTGATGTTTTTATTATATTTAAAAGTTACTATGTTTGAAATACTTTTTTCTTTTTGCTACATTCAAAAGTATTTTTAAGTAATACAAATTGTTTAACACTTTTATCTTTTAAAATGTTAAAGTGAAAACTATTTCATTTTGATTGTTACAGCCTTAAATTGTTATGGTCTTATAGTGTTTTCCATAAAAATCATGAACTCACAGTAATACTTATTATTAGGCCTGTCAAAGAAAAATTAACTTTTATTTCCATTTATTTCATAATTTAACAATTAAACTTTATAAATTTTACCAAATTATATTTAACAACTGATTACAGAAAAATTTACAATAATTCTATTTATTAATAATATTTACAAAGAAAAATAATAATAATAAAATTCAAATAAACTTCATACTTAAAATACTTTTTGAATAAAAAATATTTCATGGGGTCCCCTAAGACCCTCATATATTTAATGGGTCCTTTATATTTTTAAAAATATGTCAACCTGGTACTCAAATGAAGCAAATTTATATTAACCGTCTGATTCTGCTTATTATTTTATTACATAAAATAATTAGCAGAATCAGTCGGTTTTTCAATCTTTCTTTTTTTGTGCAATTGACATTGTAGCTTATTTAAACTAATTATTGTAACTTACTTAAATTTCAAGTCAATATATTTAAACTAATAGCGTACCGTTTGTGTTCTAAAAATAGAATTTTTTACAGAAATATAAGAAATATTGGGATTGATATTCAGACAAATATTGCACAAAAACAAAAGAATTTCTTAAAAACGCTAATGGTTATGGGATTGATAATCGGACAAACAAACAATTTGACGTCACCAAAACGGTACGCTTTTTATGTGTGAATATATAAAGAATACAATCTATTATGTTTGCATGATTTTAATCTATAACCAAATTAAATAAAATTTGTTAGTAGGTCTTCATGTTGGCTATGGCATGACCCAAACATTGTTTTTAGTGAAATTATTGGTAATAAAATGTGAGAAATACTTAATCTAAAAAATGTTTAAGCATATCTATTGATTAAATGCGGAAAATCCAAATAGATTTTTTTTTTTTTTTTTAATTTTATGCCATTTTAAAAATCCCACATGCCAAAATCCAAAACATCTGTCACTATATGTAGTGAAGCCTACAGAGATGGCTATTTTAGTGAGCAACCGTTGGAATTAGAAAAAATGAGGTCGGCAATAATTTGTAGACCTCACTCTTTTTGAGCTCGGCATCAGGTCTGCAAAAACTATTTGATACAAAGGTCTAGCCATAAAACATTGAAACAAGGTCGGCACTTTTTGCTGAATGCCGACCCTAATTCCGAGAGTTGAATAAGATATAACAAAAGATATTTTATTCAAGGCCAAGTATGTGAAAATTAAAGAAAAAGTTTTATTCATTACAACTCTTTGTAACATGAAGTGTTTGTTTTATCTGTTATAATTGAGATAAAGTTTGTTTTATCTGTTATAATCAAGATTAAGGCTTAATAGTACTCTATATTGTAAATAATTATATTATTATAATATATTAATGTATTTAACTGAAAATTTATAAATAACAAATATTTTGTTATATACAATTTTACTATTAACTATAACTTTACTATTAACAGAAATAAACAGAATTTTTCTTGACTATTTTGATTACATATCTACTTACATAATGTAACATTAATGTGACATTTATCTATTTAAAACATAATTTTATTATTAAAACATTCCACTATTGTGAAGTTGTAGTTATGTAATTAACATCAAATTGATTAAAATTAATTATCAACTTATTTAGAGCATCCTATCCTATGTTGTTAAGAAAAAAAATTAAATATAAAAACACAAACCTTTAATTAAACTGAAGACACTGGATAATATTGTATAACAATTATCTCCCAAAGTCTCTTCTAATTTATTTTGCATCCATAATTCAACTTGAGGCATTGAGGATAAAGCCTGAAAAACAAAATAAATGTATTAAGTGAATGTATGTATATATATAAATAATATTTTTATTAACATATATGATTGCTTTATTAAAATCATTTCATAACATTTTTTTTTTTTTTTGTAATTTACCTCCTCAAGGCCAAGAAGGCTTCTACAGATGAGGAGGCTACTCCAAAACACGAACCTTGACAAATAAGGCCACTACGCAGAGAAACAAGTTGAGCACGGCACTACCAGGGACATGGTGAGAATCGAACTGGAACCTCTCACTTATGAAGCGAACGCTCTACCATTAAACCACTACCAATTAAAGGTTTTAACAAGTTTACATACAGATTTACACACAGGTTTCACAGTAACGCTTGCCTCCTAACTTATATAGGTCAGTTTAAAAATAAAGCCCACAACTTTAAATATGTTGAGGTTTTCTATGTAGCAATTCTTCTAACACTTTTCACATGATGTAACTTAACAACATAAATGGCAAACTTCAAGTTTAAAAAAGTTTTAAAAGTTATATAATTTATAATTTAAAAATCTTTTTAATTATAAAATTAAGAAATTTAGTTTAGTGTGTCTTAAAAAAAACTTACTTGAATGTAATGAAGTAATATGTAAAAAAATAGAAAAATAAAACAAATTTTTAAGTCAATAACTATTCCATATTATTGTTGTGTATCAAATATTATTATAATGAGAAACTTATTAATGCTCATTCGAGTGTGTTTGACACGATACTCTTGACAGTCATTGCAATCAAAGTAATAGCGAGAAAGAGTAGCAGCACTTTTTTTTATAAGAGAAGTCAACAAAAGTCTATGCAAATATATAACTTACGAAAACTTAAAATTAATTAATGTTAAAAGCAAAATAAAACATCACTTAAAATTTTTAAAATGTTTTAGTTTTACATTCACTTGAAAATAGAATTGCAGAAACATCTCTTTAAGATTTGATCTGTAGAACTTATTTCCATTTGAAAAAGTCTTTAATATGTTATATAGTTTTAAAATTTTTGTAAATACAATACGCCAGTAGGTTCGCTTTCTTCAACTGGCTCGATTCTTTTTTTTTTTTTTTAATTAAATCTTTTTTCGATTTTTTTAAAATACAAAGTAAAATGTTTTTAAAGAAAGAAGTTTGTTTTTAAAGAAAGAAATTTTTTTGTTTTGCATTTTAAATAACAAGTTTAAAAAACCAACTGATGAGTTGAACTTGCCGCGTAGCGACCTTAACTTTTTTTAAACATTATAGGGGTTTAAAAATGTTTTTATTGAGAACATAATTGAAAATTTTAAGTTCTATTTAAAATAAACCATTTTATAAAATCTATAACTTTTAAAAATAATAAAAAATTAAAATTACATTACATAATGGTAATAAGGAAATTTAAAGTTTTACAACTATTTTACCACGCCCCTGTTAAACATCCTAAACTAAGTCCGCAACAATGACAGAATTTAGATAACCATCAAAATAGAATTAAACTTCATATAATATTAGAATAGACAACTCTGATGCTTTTAACTGATAATGTACAAGGCATTGTACAAGTGCATGCTGTGTGTTTTTTGTAGTTCCTATTTTACTTTTAAAAGTTTCTGAAACAACTTTAAATCTGCTATTATGGTTATCTATAATGATAATAGATAATGATAATAGCAGATATTAAAGTAAATATTAATTTGTATTAATAGAAATTAATATTTACTTTAATATGATAATCCTATTTTTTGAGATATTTACTAATAATTTGATTGGTTTGAATTGTTTTTTATTTTCAATTTGATTACCTGTTTGTTTTTGTGATTTATTATAGCCAATAAAGTTTAAGCAACCCCAGCAACAATGAGCTGCTAACACCCTTATCTGTAAATGGTAATTTTTTAATCAAGGCTACAAGCAACCACTATTAGAGGCTTCTGCATTGATATTTATAACTTTTTTGTTGCTGCTTTTTCTTCGGTGATTTTTTTTTTATTATTTTTGTAATTTTTTTTTTGATTGTAATTTTTTTTTAATTGTAATTTTTTTGTTTAAAATTGTAATTTTTTTTGTTTTTAATTTGTATTTTTTTTAATAATATATTCTGTTGTATATTTGATTTGCTTTCATTTTAAAACAGTTAACTCAAAATACAGTTAAATTGATTCATTATCCAATTATTATAGTATAATAATGCTACATTCAATTGTTAAAAATAATATATAGCATTTGCTACTTTTAAAATTTACTATAAGCCAAGACAATATATTTAGCTATATAAATGCATTTAATTTATATCTCAATTTGATTTTTTATCTTAAATGTTTATAGTTTAGCTCCTTAAAGCTTTTTATTTTGCTTTTTAATTAAAATATTTAAATATGTTGTGATATTTTCTAAATTAAACTTAAATTTACTGAAAGCCAACATTAAATAACGTCATTAAACAACACCGACAAGAACTGCTGCATCATGACAGTAACTAAAGTATGGTAACATGTTACCAAAAGCAGGTAAATTGTTTTCCAGTCATTTTTTTATCCTTTTTTATGTCTACTTTTTTTTATGCCTTTTTTATGCCTACTTATCTGTTAAAATTTTTATTTTAGGTTTGTCGTATGACACAATATAAAAGATCAAAGTTAACATTTTTTTTTTAAATTTGCTATACACATGTATGATTGTAAATTATTATTATTTTTTTTTTAAACGTATTTGTACTCAATTGCTTAGTTATTTATAATAAACTTAGTTATTTTTAATAAATTTATTTAGTTAAGTGCATTTTAAAAAAATTTAACCTGAGAGGGGATACCAAAAGTTAATAACTCCTGTATAATATAATAAACTCCTGTATAATAAATAATTAAGGTTTATGTTATAAAAAATATTACAAGAATTTAGTTGATATTTAAAAAGAATGTCGCAGTGTTATTATTTTGTGTTGAAATAAAAATGTTGATAAAAATGGTTCTGCCTTACACTAATATGACCTATGTCAGTTGTAAATTACTCCAATGTGATAAATAATAATTGGTAAATTATTTTACCTCCTCATACTTATTATGTTAATTTTACCGAGAGATAAATTTGTTCAATTTAAAGGCGTTTTTCTAAAAGGGTATTAGTTAAGAATTCGCAACTTTAAATTGTGGAAAACAGCCACTATAAAACAGACCGAACATAGCCTTTATTACGGGTTACTTTTTGCTAGTATATATAAAAGATTTTTATATTTTGGTCTTTTTTAAAAATTAATGAAATAAAACAAAATTATTATAATTAGGGCTGTACCGAATTTCGGCTCCGGCTCCTGCTCCGGCCGATATCCGGCCATTTTTACAAATCCGGCCCAAATCTGGCTCCGGCAAAATGTTAGCAAATCCAGCATAATTTTGGCCGGATTTCTGGATGTTTATTACATCTTTCTTACCTGTGATAACATGTATACATAATACTTAATTTTTGAACTTCATGTTTGTTTTGGTATCTGTATTTACATTTTTTTACAATTTTATTAATTTTACAAAACAAGAACGCAACAAAAAATTCTGAAGAGAAGACACACGATATTCTGCAATAATGCAGGTGTAAAGACTATGAAGTCAATCCTAATCAACTCATTAGATGAGCGTTTCAAAGGCATTGAGGAGAAACCTTTTTAGATTGAAAAAAATAAAGAAAATCCAGCAAAACAATCCCGGCTGGATAATTCTTATACATTATCATCATTACAATGGCAATATATATAGATGAAATTATTAAGTCTACGCCCGCTTAGGGAACAGCACAAGAACAACAATTACCAACAGGCATTGACACTCAGCTAAGCCAATATCTGGAAGAATCAGAAATATATAGACACGCTGATTCACTACAGTGGCGGAGTGACGACATCCCGGGAAAAAAAGTTCTGTAGAATTTCTCTAAATTTTTGAAACATATGGCCTATAGAAACTCTTTAAAATTTATATAAAATGTCTATTAATTTCTATAGAAATTGCTATAAAACTTTTAAACAACAAAAACGATGTTTAATAGAAAACAACCCGACGGGCATTTGTTTATAAAAGTTACGTTCTGAATGTGTTTTAAATGTCTTTTAAACGTCTTTTAAACATTAATGTTTAAAAGATGTTTAAAAGACATTTAAAATACATTTAGATCGTAAATTTTAAAAAGAAATGCCCGTCGGGAACTGTCACTTGGTGATCTAAATAGTCAACATTGTTGACCATTTTCAACACCAAGTAGGGATATACAGGATTTTGGTTCCTGTAGTTTTGCTTCAAATTCCGGCTCCGGCTCCGATTCCGGCTGGATCTGTTAGTAAAAATCCGGCAAATCCGGCTCCGGCCGGATTTGGAAAAATTAAATCCGGTACAGCCCTAATTATAATGGTAGGTGTGGAATAGATTTACCATGACCAGTAACATATTAATGTTCAGTAATAATTATATGGGTCATGGTAAGTCAGTTATTCCACATGTATAAGTCACCTCATGTTTTTTGAAACTTTTTATACCAATGATATTTAATTAACACATTTTAAGCAGGTGTTCTATATTATTCAAACTGGTATTGATATCTGATTCGTTGATAAATAGCGATTCTTGCAACGTCTACCAAAACATTTAAATTTTTGTAAAGTTAAATATAATAGAAAATATATTTTATAGCATTAAAAAGTAGTTAATAGTATTGTTATTATATACAGTATTGGACAAAACAAGTGCAACCAAATAATGCTAATTTAGTTTCTTTATATAAAAGTGCTGCGTTTTTTCAATTTAGAGAAATAACTATGTAAATATTTAGAAACAACAATCTTCAAGTTCCATTCATCATAAAGTTCATTATTTGTACACAAAAATTAATAAATTATTCAAAAGTATTAAAAAAAGTTGATTTCCTTCTGGACAAAACAAGTGCAACTCCAACAAAATGTTGACCAAGCTGTAATTTTACTATCAATATTTCATGGTGAATCCTTTGTTTTCGATCATAGCCTTGCCTCTTGGAGGTATAGAATCGATCAGGTGGTCAATGAAACTTTGTGGAATCGCTGCCCAGGCCTTTTGGATTTGATCCTTATTACGAACACCTTCACAATTATTTCTGCGGTTGACGATCTCCCACAGGTTCTTCATAGGGTTAGGATCCGGAGATTGAGGCAGCCAATCCATCACCGATAGGTGGTTGTCTTGAAACCACTGCTTGACTAGTTTTGCAGTGTGTTTTGGATCATTGTCTTGCTGAAAAACCCATTTTATTGGCATATTCCATTCAGCATGATGTAACATAACATCTTTCAGGATATTTTTATACATGAAACGGTCCATTATTCCATTGATTCGATATATTAGACCTAGACCGTTAGCAGAAAAACACCCCCAGACCATTATATTGCCTCCACCATGCTTCACGGTCTTATGGCAGTAACATAAATCGAGGCATTTTCCAGCTGGTCGACGTACACAGCAAATGCCAACGCTCCCAATGATGTTGAACTTCAATTCATCACTGAACAGGACAGTTTGCCATTTCTGCACATTCCACTCAATATGAGATGTAGCAAACAGGAGTCTTTTCTTCTGGTTCTTTAGTGAAACCAGCGGTTTCTTTGCAGGGCGTCGAGAAAACAATCCGGCTTCAACAGCACATTGTCTGATTGTTCGGTCTGATACAGGCAGCTCCAATTGCTTTTGTATCTCAACTGATGATATCTAGGGATCCTTCTTGACAGATCTGACAATCATAGAATTCTCTTTAGAAGTGGTGGAGCGCGATCTTCCACCTTTGTTATCTGATGCCAACTTTCTGTAAAACGATATTTAGAACATAGTCTTGATACGGTCCATTTTTTTACGCAATATTTATCACAAATATTTTTTTGTGACATTCCACTTACGTAATTGCCAATAATTTTCTTTCTTAGTTCCAATCCAAGACTGTCGGGAGCCATTTTTGCACTTGAAGTCATAATACTAATCACGCTTCTCAAGGCTTACCGTGTTACATTTACCTTTTGATGATATAATAATGCTCTGTGGAACACAACGTCTTGGTTGGATGTGGACTGTATTTATGTAATGAAACACTTGTTGTATTTCACTTCTTGTAATGATGTTCTTCGATAAAACACTTTGATAAAACTCACTTTGATAAACTGTCTTGATAATACTAACTGATTGACTTCCATATACTGACTGAATTACATGTCAGTTTACATGTCTCTTATATAGTAAAATGAACCTGTGTGAACCTGTTCTGGAAGATTCTAGATGCTTCTTTTGGATGCTTCTGGAAGCTTTTGGATGCGTCTGGATACTTCTGAATGTTTCTGGATACTTCTGAATGCTTTTGGATGTTTCCAGATGCTTCTTCTGGAAACTTCTGGAAGCTTCTGCATGCTTGTGGAAACTTCTGGATACTTCCTTTAATTATTAAAAAACTTCTGTGACATTGACACCGACCAGAAAGATCATTAAGAAAATGAAACAAACCAAAAAAGTTGCACTTGTTTTGTCTGCTACAAAATGGCACTTGTCAACCAAATTCTGCCTGTGTGCTGTCACCTGTCAGCTGATTGCTCATGTCATGGCATGCCATGACTCCAGACTCCTGAACTGTTTGCTGTGGTAGTATAGTTTGTTTCGTTTTTAAGACATGTAAAATTAGGAACACTTTTTAGCATTGTTCGATGTTGGTTTTAAATGTTTTGTCCAATACTGTATGTATTTAATTATTTTTCTCCTCTTACTAAGGTATATTAAAGTAAGGAATAAGTTTAGAAAAAGTCGTTGCGGAATAGATTTACCAAGATCCGTATTTTACGGATCATGACAGCTAGTATTATATTATTTAACTTTTTTTTTTTTAATAAATTATTAAATAAATATAAAATAATAATATAAAATCAAATTAAAAAAAAGAATCTTTTAGATAAATTAAAGAAACTTTTTTGAAATCCAAGGAAAAAGTTTATAAAAAGCAACTCCTATTAGAGTTGGAAGTTACTGGAAGAGAAAAGATGAAATTTGTAGAGATAGTAAAAGATAATTTGTAGATAAAGGGTAGATGACTCATCAATTACATTACCGATCATAAATACAGTAAGAAATAGATTATTGCAATAACAATATGTTGAAAAAAAATTTATCTGAATTAAAGTTCACCAGCCACTATGAGCCCCATGCAGTAGCAGAAATGAGATCTTTTTCAAGCTCAAACAATCAAAAAAAAGCTCAAACAATCAAAAAAGTTTTAAGCAATCAGAAGATTTTGGCTTGTCAAGACAAGAATAAATGGTAATATCATCAGCGAATAATGCCACCATTGATGTAAGAATACCTAGAAGATCGTTAATGTAAATTAAAAAGAGAATAGGGCCAAGGATAGAACCTTATACTATAATTGGTAAGGAAGAATTTAATAATTCTAAAGATATTACCTGATACACTGTGAAAAGACAGCTTATAGAGAATTCCAGCATGCCAAACTTTACCAAAAGCTTTAGACTAATGTCAAGAGTGATTGCCTTAACCTCTCCACTTTTATCTAATGCACGATAAAACCTATCAGTTATTACTGTTAGCAAATCAGCTGTAGAACGAGAAGATCAAAATCCATATTGATGATCAGAAAGTAAGTTATTAGATTCAATACGAGAGATTGTCTGGTAATTAATATATTATATAATATATTAAAAGATCAGAATAATATTATATAATATATTAAAAGATCAGAAAGTAAGTTATTAGATTCAATATGAGAGAATGTCTGGTAATTAATATATTATATAATATATATAATATAATATAACTTACAGATAATATAATCAATATACAGAAAATGTAATTAAAATAATATTAATATATAATATGGATACTATACACTTAATATATAAATATAATTAATGTATAATATACTATATAATTAATATATAACATTAATATATAATATGGATTAACATATAATATTAACATATAATATGGATAATATAATTAATATAATATTAATATATAATATGGATAATATAATTAAAACATAGATAATTAATATTTATATATAATTAAATATACGGATATAAACATACACGCTTGCTTCTGCATATTTTTATAAACTTTAGCGTTTATATGACAACATTTGCTGAGAAAGATGATGATCACTTTTAACTCCAAAGCTCATTGCTTGTGGTGCTACACTATCTACTACCTACTTAACTTAAAATATGACCAAAGTACCTAAATATATTAAACATAAAAAACTATTACCACCATCTAACTGTTTAAATTTATCCTTTACAAATTTTTTTAACTTCATCGTCTTAGAAGTAACTTCAAAACTTATCAAACTTACTTGCTCTTTGTAAGACTAATTTGAATTCTGCTGTTTCGTCTTCTGATCTCAGTGATGAACATACAATCCATTGCAAAGTTAGCATCTGCTAAATCTCTTTGTTGCGCTCACCATTTTCTTATTCCTGATTTCATTCTCTACCTCTACAAATTTCTAATTTGTCACTGAATAGAATGTTGTTCATTTTGTTTGGTTCTAGGCAAGGTCCAAAAACGCCAATCTGCCAAGCTTGAGCTTCTCAATACCTTCATAAAATTCAATCAATCAACGTAATCTGCCAAGCTTAAGCTTCTCTAATACCTTCATAAAGTTACATTTCTTTTGCTTTTCTAAAAATACTAACACTGTTGTTGCTCAAATGAGCTATCAACTTTAGATCCATCAACCAAAATTCATTTTTGCTTGACTCATCATTCACCAAAAATAAAATTTAGCAGTGATCAAATAATTTTAATTTAAAACAATCGTGCAACTACATTTAGAGTACATATAATCACTTTAATTATAAAAAAAATTAAATTCAACTTAATTTCTCTGTGCAGCGGCCTTGCTTGTTAAGGTTTGTGTTTTGGAGTTAAAGAGTTGAGAGAGAGTTGTACCACAAAAAAAAAAAAAAAATGAGTAGCCTCCTTGACTGTAGTGGCCGCCTCGGGCCTTGGGGAAGTGAATAATTTTAAAAAAAATTTTTTAGAGAAAATTCTCTAAAAATTTTTTTTTTAAATTATGACACAATCTATGCAACCTAAATTACTATAATTGCAAACTAATTAAAAAATAAAAACTAGAGAGTTTTAAAAATAAAGTAGCATGGAACAAAGATCCTTTAAAAGTTTTTTCTCTAGCTGAACAATGTTTACAATTCTGCAGAGAAATTACAAAAAACTTATCAAGGATATCACTTTGGTAAAAATAGAGTTGATTTCATAAGTAATACTGGCATATAATGTTGTTATGCAGCAAAGCACAAACTCTTTCTTAAATATATCTTAGACAAATACATTAAGCAAAAATAAAATTTAAAAATTTTTAACTAAACCGCAAAATGATCCGAAATTACTGTTTATACTGTTTATTTCATTTGGCATTTAACATTGTTGCTTACAACAAACAAGATGCTTTTAACAGATAAAAATAATTTTTTGTGTGTGTGTAACGAAAGTTACTAAAACTATAACACAATTAATTTTTTGAAGTAAAATTATTTGATGCAACAGTTTAAAAAGAAAGAAAAGTAAGTGAATTTATAACAGTTAAAAAGACTTTTAATTTACAAAAAAACCTTATATAGTAACATTATTTCTTAAAATTAAATCAATAATAAATATATAAAAATAATAAAATAACTAATAAATATATAAAAAAAACTACCTGCAAAATACAATTTGAAAAGCAAGAATTTCCATCATTAATTAGGCCAGGAGGTAGTCCTAATGACAAGAAAAATAGAAAATTTACAAGCATAAAACTTAAATTTTAACTTATTTTAATTTAATTCTGACTCTAATTCCAAGCGTTGATATATATATATATATATATATATATATATATATATATATATATATATATATATATATATATATATATATATATATATATATATATATATACATATATATATATATATATATATATATATATATATATATATATATATATATATATATATATATATATATATATATATATATATATATATATCGGGTGTTTACTAGGAATAATTTTGATGCAACGTTTTGACAAAATTGGGAATTTGTCAAAAAATTTCCCAAATATACCACCCCCTCCCTGAAATTAAAATGTGTACCGGGAATGTGTGGGTCCTTTTCTTATACTCTTTCTTCTTCTACTTCATTTTAGTGCTGCATATATTGATTGGACAGCGCCAAAAATAAAACAAAATACCGTCTGTAATATTTATTGAAGAGGAATATGAAATCAACACAAAATTAAACATGGTTTCACAATGACAAGGCAAATTTCCAAAAATAAAATATAGCAAAAACATTTGCTAAAAACATGAACTAAAAAGTAGTAAACTAACTTTTTAATTTAAATTTAATAGTTCCGTAAACTAAAGATTGACAGGTATTTTCTAAATAAATCTTGCCCAGACCTGTCAATCTTTAGTTTACGGAACTATTAAATTTAAATTAAAAAGTTTATTTTCTACTTTTTAGTACAAAAAGATTATATTTTTAGCAAATGTTTTTGCTATATTTTATTTTCTACTTTTTAGTCTTTACAGAGAGTTGCAATGCGTTTGTCTAGACATTTGTAATTAAGTCGAGCTTTTTATCCTAAAAAAACTGAGTATTTGCTGATTAAAGGAGCGAAATATTTTTGTTTTAAAAGATAAAAAATTTTTGTATAAAAGTAAAATAACATATATTACAAATATTTCATTTGCATTGCAACCCGCGTCCTCCCACAGATGTATCATACTTTTATATTAATATTAAACAAAGTTAACATAACTTTGTAAGTTACTTTTTCAATTTTATTAAAAAAACAACTTTTCAAAAAAAAAAAAAAAGAAATACAAACCCACAAGCAATCTTAGTCAATTTTTAAGATAAAAAAACTTATTTTGGAAAGAGAACAATATGTATTAAAAAAAATTACAAACCCACAAGCAATATAGCCTATTTTAAACATGAAAAGATTTGTTAAAAGATTAACATGACTATTCTAAACAAACCTGCAAGCAATTTTCTGGTAAATTTTTGTATAAAATGTTAGTTTTTAGCGGGCTATGGACGTCAAAGAAAGTTGAGGAAAAGATCATATTAAGTGAAAGAAATGATTATAAAATAACAAATTTTTTAGCAAATGTTTTTGCTATATATTTTTTTCTATTTTTTAAACTTACAGTGAGTCACAATATTTAGCAATGTAAAGACATTTGAAATTAAATCGAGCTGAATGTGCAAATGGTGTAAGTACGAACTGCATATATGCAAATTGGCATAAGTGCAAAGCAGTTTGCAAACATTGGCATAAGTGCAAACTGGCATAAGTGCGCCGAATAAAATTGCAAATATTGGCATAACGCAAATTGTTATTTCGCTCTTTTGCCAATTCGCACTTGTGCCAGTTTTTGCAACGCATCGCACTTATGCCAATTCCCGCTTATAAGGCCTCCCAGATTAAAGGAGCGGAATATATTTCTTAAAGGATAACATTTTTTTTTATAAAAGTAAAATAAGATATAGTATAAATATTTCATTTGCATAGCCACAATCGTCCTCCCACATATGAAATATATTTTTATATTAATATTATACAAAATTATGTTGTAAGTTATATTTTTCAATTTTATTTAAAAAAAAAATTTTTTTTAAAAAGAAAGTATTAAAAAAAAAGATACAAACGCAGCAGCGCAATATTAGCCGATTTTAAAAAATAAACATTAAAGAATTATAATTATTCTTTAATAAAACAAAGCCGCAAGCACTTTAGAAGCAAATTTTTATATAAAGGGTTAGTTTTTATGTGTCTCTTGGACGACAAAGAAAGTTAAGGAAGAGTTTATGTTAAGTGAAAGAAAAGATTATAAAAAGGCTTCGATTTCCAAAGATATATTCAGAATCATTTATTTTCATATTATAAAAAAATCAGTGTGTATTAATTAATTTTTATTATGAGTAATATATTTGATTTACTTTTAATCTTAATATATCATTGCCGCTTTTATGTTAAAAGTATTCTTTTGAATATTTCACTGGTGGGCATTAAAGAGCAATTTTTAAAGTAATATAGCAATCTTCTACTTCTAATTATTATCTAAATTCTGATTGACGTCCGTTATGGACAAATCCTTACACCATCATGTAATAAATTGTGTCATCAAAAGAAATGTTTTAAAAATAGAAAAATAAAAAAAAAAAAAAAATAAAAAAAAGGTTTTGAACAGTAAACACAAGCTCGTAAATTTCATATTTATATTTATTGTGGGTTCAATTTTATAATTAATATTAACTTTCTTTATACATAAATTGCATAGCGAAATAAAGTTACAATTACAAAAGTCTCAGCAAAAATAAAAACAATGTTGTTTTAAAATTTAAGAATTTTAAATTTATGAGAATTTGGGAATACCATGTTTGACAGGGCCCCACAGGGATAGTTTACACCCTGTATATATATACATATATATACACACACATATATTATATATGCATGTATTTTTAACTATGAATACATGTTTAGATAATATCTCTAACATCAAACTAAAATAGTCAGCTACCGGAGACTACAGTACATAAATTGACTTTCTTATTGCCTGTTGCTGCAGGCTATAAGATAGTTAATGAATGCAACTAAATAAACTAAGAGTTAAGCACAGGGCAGCAATTTTTTCTTATATTATTCTTTGTTTTTTTTCTTCCTTTTTCTGAAAACGCTGTATGTTATAAAGATAGGAAAAACTAGCAACAATTAACTACCTATTTATTGCTACATATTTTTTCCCATCCATGAAAAAAAAAACAGTTTTAACTTCAAAGCAAAAAAAAATGTCAGAATGCTTTATTTCATTGGCTGATTGAGGCTGGGGTTTCAATGGAGATGAGCAGGCTTGGTCGGGAAGCGGGAGCGATCACTCTCAACGACGAAGATTAATTGGACCGATAAGAGACAATTACACAAAAAAAAAAAAAAAATAGGCAAATAAAATATCTTTAAACGCGAAAAAATTTAAAGCTAAATAAATTACATTTAGAACAAATATTTTCGAAACATCGCTCTTTTATAATTTTTTTTATAAAATTAAGCGATGTTTTTTATACAAAGTAACAACTTACGATTGTTTAAAAGGGAAACAAATATATTTTTTATTTAACTAAGTTTGCAAGTTTTAGTTTTACTTAACCTTAATTTATTATATAAATAAAAAAGTTAATTTTTTTAATACCTTTTTTATGTTTCGCGTAGTTTAAAAAGTTTAACATGTTTGAAGCGATTACTTCAAATGAAATAATTAAATCATTGAATTACTATAAGAATTAAATTATCAAGATAGAAATCAACTAAAAAGGTTAAAAATACTTAATGACCAGGAAGCGAAACTGCTTCACAATATCGCTGATTATGTTTAGTGAGTGGGCTTTTTAATTTCAATTAGTATTTAAAGCAGAAAAACGTGTAGCAAGTTTAAAGAATGGCAACTTAAGCGAAAATAATTATAGTTAGTGAACCAATATCTAGAAACTTTTCTTTATATCTAATTATTTGCTATATATATTCGTGTTCTGTCGTGACCTCAGGTGCGATGCTTGTTCATCCGCGAGTTACTTTGTATGCGTTGTTTGTGTTTAGTAACCAGAAACTTCTTATATGTTTGTTACATAATTAATTTTTTTAACTTTAACGATAATATCTTCATTGAAAACGCAATTATTTTTGTAAGCCTTTGTTTAAATCATAAAAATTGCTTTAAAAGATACATTACGATAAAAAACAAATACACAAAATTACATTTACATAAAGAATACAATCTCTTTTAAAATAAAAAATAAAAATATACTAATAAAATCTATGATTTATATTAAACTTTTAAAATTTTAACAATTTAATTAATATATATTTAAAACATTTATTTTCGTAAACAAATAATATATATTCTTAAAACAATGCTAATAATCTCAAAACGTAACAAATCGTGAATAATACAATTCTTAAAAGTAATGTTTTTGTCATAAAGTACATCACACTAAATTTATCTTCTTAATAGATGATCACTTGTTATTTCGCGCGGAGATCGATGAGATTTTTGTTCAACATAAAAATCTTTTAAAAAATTTAAATTACTTTAAATCTCTGCATGGAAGCCAATAGTATTTTAAAGGTTGTTAAAGTGAAAAGTTAAGAAAAGAAAAGACGTTAAAGCAAATTTTTTCTTCATTACTTTTTTTTAACAAAAACAGCCTGGTTTTTATCTTTGTTTTTCAAAACGTTGCACCAAGTTAGCTTTTTTGTTAATAATTTAAATTATTATTTTATCAACAGTTTTATATTTATAATTTTACTACTTTATGTATATTAAAATATATATTAATTGGTTTTTATTTTATTTTTTTTCTAATAGTTGGGCAACCTTAATCGAAACTTATTTGCTTTTAAGCATATTTTTAAATTTAAGGAAATTATCTGAAAGTATCTAATTTTTTTTTTCTTTGACCGTACTCTTTTGGTCTATAGATTATAGACTCGTATGGTCTTAAATGCGTGTTTTTGCGCAAATATTAAGTTTTATGACGATAATTTTTTAACTTATTAATTAGAACTATTTCATTTATTTGCTTGGTTTTATTTTAAACGTGTTTTATGTTATTAAGTTATATGCTGTATAAAACAGCAACAAAACAGCGTCACGAAGTTTTACATTAAATCAAGCTATTTATATTTTTAAAACAACTTTGCAATTTGTTTTATTGTTGTTTTATAACTTTTTACAATAACAATTAAATATTCTTTAAAAATAACATGTGTTTTATTGTCAGCATGAACGTATTAAATAGTTTTCTATGACTAATTAGTGGTTTAAATATTGTAATGTTTGCTTTTTACTCTTAGTTTTTTACTTTTACTTTTTTAAGTATCATGTTAAGTAAAAACTAATATTTACTACTATTAAGATATTGCTAAAAGTAACATCTTAACAGTATTAAATACATTAGTTGCTCATTACACTGTAACTGCAACTTAAACTTTCAATTATAAACTAAACTTTAAATTGTAAATTATAACAGTAACATACGCTATTTTAAACTCCACCAAACGAGAAAATTATAAGATAATAATTAAATATAAGAGATAATTTGTTAAAAAATAATAATTACTCACAAAATGTATAACTTTATACTAACGCTCCCCACCCCCATCCATTACCCTATTACCAAAGCGGTGCGAGCTATATAAATATATAAATATATATATATATATATATATATATATATATATATATATATATATATATATATATATATATATATATATATATATATATATACATACATATATATATATATATATATATATATATATATATATATATATATATATACATATATATATATATATATATATATATATATATATATATATATATATATATATATATATATATATATATATATATATATATATTTATATATACATATATATATATATATATATGTATATAAAAATATATATATATATATATATATATACATATATATATATATATATTAGGGCTGTACCGAATTTCGGCTCCGGCTCCTGCTCCGGCCGAAATCCGGCCATTTTTACAAATCCGGCCCAAATCCGGCTCCGGCAAAATGTTAGCAAATCCGGCATAATTTGGCCGGATTTCTGGATGTTTATTATATCTTTCTTACCCGTGATAACATGTATACATAATACTTAATTTTTGAACTTCATGTTTGTTTTGGTATCTGTATTTACATTTTTTTACAATTTTATTAATTTTACAAAACAAGAACGCAACAAAAAATTCTAAAGAGAAGACACACGATATTCTGCAATAATGCAGGTGTAAAGACTATGAAGTCAATCCTAATCAACTCATTAGATGAGCGTTTCAAAGGCATTGAGGAGAAACCTTTTTAGATTGAAAAAAATAAAGAAAATCCAGCAAAACAATCCCGGCTGGATAATTCTTATACATTATCATTAATACAATGGCAATATATATAGATGAAATTATTCAGTCTACGCTCGCTTGTGGCACAGCACATGAACAACAATTACCAACAGGCATTGACACTCACCTAAGCCAATATCTGGAAGAATCAGAAATATATAGACACGCTGATTCACTACAGTGGCGGAATGACAACATCCCGGGAAAAAAGTTCTGTAGAATTTCTCTAAATTTTTGAAACATATGGCCTATAGAAACTCTATAAAATTTATATAAAATGTCTATTAATTTCTATAGAAATTGCTATAAAACTTTTAAACAACAAAAATGATGTTTAATAGAAAACAACCCGACGGGCATTTGTTTTTAAAAGTTACGTTCTGAATGTGTTTTAAATGTCTTTTAAACGTCTTTTAAACATTAATATTTAAAAGAGGTTTAAAAGACATTTAAAATACATTTAGATCGTAACTTTTAAAAAGAAATGCCCGTCGGGAACTGTCACTTGGTGATCTAAATAGTCAACATTGTTGACCATTTTCAACACCAAGTATATACAGGATTTTGATATACAGGATTTTGGTTCCTGTAGTTTTGCTTCGAAATCCGGCTCCGGCTCCAATTCCCGCCGGATCTGTTAGTAAAAATCCGGCAAATCCGGCTCCGGCCGGATTTAAAAAAATTAAATCTGGTACAGCCCTAATATATATATATATATATATATATATAAATATATATATATATATATATATTTATATATATATATATATATATATATATATATATATATATATATATATATATATATATATATATATATATATATATATATATATATATATATATATATATATATATATAACACTAAAACCAAATAAGATAAAATTGAGAAAGATATAATTATCTAAGAAGTTTATCTATAGAACTACTCCAACTGTGTCAACCTTTAAGCATACCAGAATAAGGAGAATTTTAGTAAATTTGAGTAGTAATTGTCCTATATAAACATGAAATTAAAATATGAATTAAGATATTGCCATTAAAGATAATTTTAGTAGCTTAAATAATGAGTTTTTTTATTTACCAAAAAAGCCAAAAAAATGGACCCCTGCGGGTTATTTTTTCCAAAAGAAAATAAAATAACAAGAATAAATAGTGTATCCCTAGAATTTTTTTATTCCTATTTTTTTAATGTTCTAATAAAATCTTTTAGTGAGTTTTTGTTGTTTTTTGTCCAGTAAATTTATTTGTTTATTTTTATTGTTGGTTACAAGCTCCTAAGACAACTTGAAATTGCTTTGATGTTTGTGGCTAGATAAATCTCTATATGTATTATACTTCCATAGTTAAAAGTTAACAAATGAATATTTTATTTTTAAAAAAAACAAATTTCTCAGACATTCGATTGTCTTAAAATTGAATTTCATAATAAGTTTTAATTCTTTTATTTAAAACTAATCTTTTAATAGTAACAACAGTTTTAAATACTAAATGAGTTACAGCATGTAATTGTAAATGTAATGTAAAAACTGGAAAAGTTCTTTTTAAATAGAAAAAATCAACAACCATTCTATTTTGGATCAATAATCTTTTTTCACAAAAAAAAAGTATGTTTAAATATACAAATAGATAATTTAAATCATTTGATAATTCTTTTTTATTCTCATAAAAAACTGTTTTAAAATCAGTTGATCCATTGATAATTAAAAGTAGCTTAATTAAGTTGCCTAATTAAGCAACTTATCTGAAATTAATCAAATATCCAAGAGGAAATAAATAGCGAAACTTTATTTTTTATTCTTTAAAATTTGTCTTGCCGAAACAGCTGTTTTTCTAAAATTCATAAGATAATGGTTTGGGACATAACAATTAAAGGTTGCGTAAACAAGAAATTACATGAAAAACTAAAAAAAAATTGTTATTAAACATGCTTTGAAAGTATATTTGATAACACAGAGGTACAGAAAATAATTTGTTGATTTTTATAGTCATATTAGGTTGAGGTATTAAAAATTTCACAGACAAAAAATACTATGTTTTTTTTTTTAAACGAATAAATTTATAAAAAAATTATTCATATCTGTAAAAATCTAGATAGAACAGAAAATCATTAACAAGTGTTCCAAATTTAAACTATTAAGCATTTAGCTATGTTATCAAATCTTGGTTGGACCGAGACAGGTTTTCTGTAAAAATCACAAAAAACAGAAAAGTGACTCATATCATAAGCAATATTTTTACAACTTTTATATTTATTTTGTTTACCGAAAACATTTATTTAACAAGGAAAGATAGATCTTTAATTTTTTTTTTTTTTTAATTTGAAGTTAAGTTTTTATTTGAAGTTATTTGAAGTTTTTTTTTTTAATTTGAAGTTTTTTATTTGAAGTTTTTTTTTTTATTTGAAGGACAAAAAAATTTTTAATTTATATTTGAAGATGAAAGCACTTATAGATAAAAAATAATCTTATTTTAAAGTGTTCAGAAACACTTTTTAAAAATTAAACTTGTGACGTCAAGCTTGCTTTTATATTGAGTGATACAGCTGTGATAAATAATAAATAAAAACTTAAATTCATTATAAGATTTTGGATTACTTTTTGTTCTCTGGCTCCTAGAGTTAAAATAATTATTTGTAGATCATTACTATCTGACATAGGCATGAACATAATTATGTTTGTTAATCGCAAGCTAATTTTCATTAAAGTTTTATATATATATATAAACTAACGTCTTTTGTTTGCTTGCTTTTTGTTTGTTTGTTGCTTTTTTTTTCTCGTTTTTTACTGTATATAGATCCACTACAATTAAAGCAGCTATTAGTTTATTTGTTTTAAATTTTTAAAAATCTCTCTCAGGGATTTGGTGGATATTGCATCCCTGGTATATAATGACAATAGGTATTGCCGAAATTTACATTTTATAGAACCAAATTTTGTGCTATTATTCTGTTCGACATTTTTAGAAAATTGCATTTTGCTGGTATGATTAGATGGTGTTTCGTTGTCTTATTTTGACATTCACTTAGAGTTTGACATTCACTTAAAATTTCACATTCACTTAGAGTTGTTTTAAAAAGTAGGATAGTCAAACATTAAAATATAACTTTTATTAGATTGGCACACATTAAAATAGAGCTTGTTGATATCAATAACTATGTTGTAGATTCTATGTCTAGTTAATGTGAAAGATATAGATACAGATCATAACTTTTGCTATTCTATCCCTTAAGTTTATGTTATACCTAGGTATAACACAAACTTAAAAAATGGCCATAACCCAAGTTTTACATAAAAACTAAAAAATATTAACCTACCTTTTTTTCTTCTTTCACATAATGCTTTTTTCTCTATATAATCAATTTGATACATTTTTTTATATTTTTCATCTTTGCCTTGCATAAACCTGTGAATAACTAACCAAATCAAGCTGCAAATACCACTTATAATTCCAACATACAAAAACCTAGATGTATAACCTAGAGCATACCAATGTCTAAATCCTGGTTTAAACCGAAACAGTTTATAAAAAACATTATTTTGAAAAAAATTAAAAAAATCACGATTCATTTTTAAATATCCGATGAAGTTTAGTTTTAAAATTAGTCCCACTTGTTGCGAATATTTTGTGTATTCTGTGAGAGAGTTTTTTGCTTTCCTTTGTTTTGATCTGCTGTAGCTATCATGTAAACAAGGTACATAACACAACCTGCAAGAGCAGCAATTCCAAAATTTATAACATGCTTGTTTGGTTTAATATATAGTTCAGGATTAATAAGTCTGGAGGCAATAGTAGACGATGTCTTATTCTTTGTATTTTCAGAGGACGTTGAATACTTTTTTACATAATTTACAATGCGTTTTTGCAATATCATCATATATTAGTTAAACAACAGGCAGACCTGTATTTTTAAAAATGGATTCGAAAGAATGGAGTGGAATAGGTTATTTATTCAGACTTTGACATTAGAGATGACGAAATTAAAATAAGAACCACATGTTTTGACAACTAACCGACTCATTTTTCAGACATTTGTCTCGTTTGTTATAAGCATGACTTTTTTTTTATATATATATAGAGCTGATTGGCCAAATAAATCATTTATATAATACCAACGGCAGAGCGAATTAAAAAATTAGATGAATTCTTATAAGCAGAGCCTTCGGTAGGCTACCCTACGATCCCCAATTGGGGATGGGTACAGCAATTTTTAGGGGTCTATTTGCGAATTTAGGGGCCCTTTTTCAAATTTAATGAGCTTTTTTTTCAAGAATACCTAGTAGAGAATTTTTTAAAATATTAGAGCCCTAATGAATAATTTTTGGGGGTTGGAGGGGGGCTTTAACTCACTAGCCAAGGCAATGCTTATAAGTCAGGCCCGTAGGAACAAAAACTATATTGGGGGGAGGGTAGTGCTGGGACCGTTTTTTTTCTTTTTTTATTTTTTTTTCCGAAAAAAATAGCCCTAGGCCTCGATCCGCCATGGGAGGTGGCAATACTATTTGGTAGGTCGAATAGTAGTAGGTCACAAATATTTGTGAAAAGAACTTACGCCGAAAATACGAAAAAACAAATTAGGTCTTTTCTATCCGGTTTTTTCTTTTACATCTTAATTTGTAATCTAAATTTTTTTTCTAAAAACTAACTTCACAAATTTTTGTTTGAAAAGTCATTAGGAGGTAGGGGGAATGCTCCTGCTGACCTCCCAGTTGCGACGGGCCTGTAAGTGATCTGTCAAACAATTCAACATAAAAAATGTTAGAAATAGATCCGCCAAAAATGCAATGAAAAAACCTACACTTGATATTGAAACTTAATGGTAGAAAGAATCACTATGGGTACAATGTCTAATGTTCGATTGAAGGTTAAAAGAATATATTGTCAATAGTTAATATAAGACTACTGATGGTATATTCATTTTAGGATCTAGTTCTAACATATAATCTGCCGAATTATTTGACAGACCCACAGAGGGCGGGAACTTAAAAAACCTGGATAAAGTTCATTAAATTTTAAAAATCACTCAAAAAATTTCAGGTAGTAAAACTTCGATCCCATGAACCTAGGGATCACCGGTTACAGTATACGGTATATTAAATAAAAATCAAACACATTTGCTTCACTTAAATTGTTAATTTTTTTCTCAAACTTGTATTAAGGTTTTATCAAAAAGAAATTTTGTTTATGGAAAACTTTACAGTATACTAGCCAATCCCATAATTTTTTTCGACAACCAATTTTTATGCGGTTGTTTGAAGTTACTCTTTTCACAATTTTTAACTAAATTTACAGCAATTTCCAAGCAATGGCAAAAATAAATTCTGATTTAAAACCCATTTAATTTTTTCAACAATATTTTCTTTATATGTTCCTGTAACAAAAAAAAAATCTGTCCGTATTAATTTAAGAAATAAGTTGTACCTATCTTTCGCTGATTATGATAGATAAATTAAACTTTGGCTATTGTAATGAGATTATTTTGTTGATCTTTGAGCTTATTTCTAGTCATGCAACAAACTTTATAATTTTTACCTCATTTTTGTATCAAATGATGTTATTTTTTTTAAATAAATTTACTGGCACAGGTCAGAAATTGACCATTTAGATTTGATTTTGGAATACCCCAAACATTTTTATAGATTCTATTTAAGAAACCTTTAGGTTACACAAAACTGTAAAAATTAAAATCCTGCAGATGGCACATTTTTAGAAAAGGCATTTAAAGGACGTGGGCCTATGAAATTATTATGTTCAAGTGAAGAAACTTCCAGTAACGCTGCAAACCTTTCATTTTTACATACTAATACTAATATCAAATAATGATGTTCTACTAAAAAATATATATATATTGGGAACATTGAAAATACACGATTTCGGGGCACCGACCCCAAATTCGGCAAATAAAAAAATTTTAAAATTTTTTGTACAATCTTATAGTAAATGAAATATTTATTTAAAGAATTCAAATTTTTAAAAAATATCCTTTACAATTCAAAAGTTATGCCTAAAAAACGTTATATTCTCCCTCCCCCTTCCAAAAAAATAAGGAGTTTTTATATTTTACATGACCATATTTTTCAGATGTCCCCCTCTCAATCAGAACAAGTGGCCTCAAATTTTGGTGTTTTTTTTGTTCTCAAACTTAAATCACAGTTATTTTTTGGACACATTTATCTTTTTATAACCATATGATACCATGTGGTTATATGACTTTGTATACAAAAGATTTTAGTCTTCAAAGTGCCTAAATTAGCCCCTTTATTTTTAATAAACGTTTTTTGTTTAGCTTCACTTTTTTGGACACATTGGTCTTTATGACACTGTATTTTTATATAAAAAAAGTATAGTATATGGTATAAAATTAGCTTAACTTCATTAAATACCATTTATTAGTTGTTTATAGTTATTTAAAGGTAATGATGAATAATTAGAATTAAATAAAGTTTGCAATTGGTAATTAAATTTTTATTTAATTAAAGTTTATTTAAAAATTTACTCTTGATATTTTAGTAACTATTAAATTTACAGATAGAGTTTATAATGCCTTATTTAATATCAAAGAAAGGAAGGGAATTTAAGTTTTAAAAATCTCATAAGTTGAACAGACTTTTGGTCTGTGCTTGTTGCTTTACTAAAAACACTAAGTGTATTCTGGTTACAGAAAGTTTTTCAAAGCTCGTTGTAAACCATTGCCATAATAAATATAGTATTAAGGTTATGAACTACCCAGCTGGACTATGCCTTACGTGTAAAAGAAATCTGTAACTGCTTAAAGCTGGAAAACCTCATTCAACATCAGTTAAATGGAAATGGAACAAAGAATCTTTAAGCAATTTCTACTGCAGTAGGAGCTGCAAAAAATGCAAAGTTTGCAAATTAGTAACTACTAAAATCTTAGGTTCTATACTACGCTTTTTTTTTTAATTAGTTTGAATTAAATTCATCAAATAATTTTTTAAATAAAAATAGACAAATAAAACAGAAAAAAAATAATTTCAGGAAAAGTTGGTGTTTTCAAGAGTTCAAATGCTGCTTGCTTTAAAGTTTGTCAAAAATGTCTTCAAGTTATTGGTAAAGGTATACGTCATAGATGCTACCCTGGAAAGGAATTAAAGAGTCTAGAAACTTATCTCTTAAATAAAGATATTAAAGTAAAATCTTTATAAAATATATTTTTTTTAATTAATAATAATACTATTATTTAAAATCTGAATGTTTCTTGTTTATATCTCATTTGTAAAACCAATTTTTTACTGTCCTATTGTTTAAGTTCAAGGCCAAGTAATGATCAATTTTTTGAAAGCTGTGTACTCAAACAATGATATGGAAAAAGGTGAAAAAATCCTGTTTTCCACTGGTATGTTATATATCTTGCTTTCTTTGTATATGTTTGTAAAATTTTGAGCCTTTCTAAACATTTTTGTCAACTGTATAGGTGGTTCCAAAGTCACCATAACTCTTGGTCAAACTAGTATGAAACAGACAGAAATACGGTTTTCAGAGTTTAACAAGTTAGTTGTTTGTTTGCAATTGACTCAGTTCAAATCATATGTTCTCTTGAAGACCTTTAGGCAAAATGGAATTAAGTTTGAAAGTAATATGAATAAGAAATTGAATGATAAAACAAAGATACTTAAGAATTTTAGTTTTTCTATATTTTAGAAAATGTTTCTTTGGAGGATAAAAAGAGAGATACTAAATCATGTAAAAAGAGATTTAGTTTATGTAAAAAATATCACAGAACATCTTGAGTTTGTTATTGAGTACATAAAACAGGATCTCCTCGATACCTTTGTAAGAGTTGGCATAGATTCGGATTTGAGCATTTGATTTTTAATACAATAGATGAATAACGAAAACTATAAATTTTAAGAGTAATGAGTAAATAAAAACATTTATAGTGGAAGTTCAACGTAAGTTATTGCAAACTTTTTCAACCCAAACCAACAAGAGTCACTGAAGGGAATGATTGGGGAACTTACTCTGGAATTTTGCTCTTGATTAACATACTGTAAAAATATGCAAGAAACACATAGCAACCTCACAGTATTGAATAAAAAAATTCAACTTTGTACTTGTAAATATTCTCTGGCATCAGTCCTCAAACTCATCAACATTTTGTTGGGAATTTCGGTATTTAAATTACTTAAATAACTTCAATTTATTCTTTAAATGAACTATTTTCTTTAAATTTACACTATCTGTAAAGTCTTGGATAAACTTGTGATACTGTGGATCTAGTGGTTCACTAAAACTAAATTCTTTTTAATAAAGCTAAACAAAAAATGTTTATTAACAATAAAAGAGCTTATGATATTTAGGCATTTTGAAGACTAAAATTTTTTGTATACAAAATTGTATAATCACATGGTATCATATAATTATAAAAAGATAAATGTGCCCAAAAAATTACTGTGATTAAAGTCTGAGAATAAAAAAAACCCAAAATTTAAAGCCACCTGCTCTGTTTGAGAGGGGGACATGTGCTTTTAAAAAATATTTTTGTAATTTTTTAAACCAAAATTCATCAAAATTTATAATGAAATTTCAAGTTTCTTAAAAAATTCTTATGTATTTCAGAAGTTATGGTCATGTAAAATATAAAACCTCCTTATTTTTTTGGAAGGGGAGCGGGAATGTAACATTTTTTGGTCAAAACTTTCGAATTGCAATGTATATTTTTTAAAAATTTGAATTATTTGAATAAAATTTCATTTACTACAAGATTGTACAAAAATCACAGAACAGTGCAGAAAAGTATATAACTTGGAAATTTACGCTTGCTTTATGTCGAAAAAAGCCTAGAGTAGGCATCGAACCAGAGATCAATGACGTATCGAGCATTTTTTGGTGATTGAAACAGCTAACTTTCAGACATGGAGCAAAATCTAACCACTTGTATGTTTATACCTCTGATCTCTATAATATTATTATTAAGATCAGTGGTTTATACTTATGTCATATAATGATGCTTTGCAAAATATTGCAATGATTGGAGACTGAGAACAAAAAGCGCTAAATTTTATTCATCTTTGCCCCAAATGTGAGTGCATCAAGTTGATAAAATAATATTTTTGCTATTCTCAATAAGGTTTATATTCATCAATTAACTTTAAGTTTCATAGTATTATCTATCAGCGTTTAAAAAATATGATCATGTAAAGTTTAAACCCTCTTCAATTTGAGGGGGTTACAAATTTTATATATTGTCATGATTTTTGAACGCTTAGAGATTGTACAGCAATACTTAAAATTTATTAATGAATATAAATATATATAAATTTAGTTTTAAATAGCAAGAAAACTATTTTATCAACTTGTTACTCTTACGCTTGGGGCAAGGGGGGATAAAGTTTTAGGGCTTTTTTGCTCCCAGCGTCTAATCATTGCAATATTTTGAAAAGCATTACTATTTGACATAAAATAAAAAACATAAAAGAGCAAACTTCAAACATAAAAATGCTTGGAGTTTGCTCAATATCAATCACTAAAAAAGGCTGTATACGTCACTGCCACAGATCTCTTGATTCTGAAGCAAACGCTGTAACCACAACTTATTGTCTGCATTTAATTTATTTATATATATATACAAAGGCGGTTTTACAACGGACGGAGGGGGTGTTTCTTTTGGGGTCCCCAAGAAAAGAATTTTCAAGTTGTAGTCGTTTTTTTTTTACGAATTTAGTCGGCTCGCTGGGTATTTGACACAATTCACTTTTTTTTATATATATATATATATATATATATATATATATATATATATAATATATATATATTATATATATATATATATATATATATATATATATATATATATATATATATATATACAGTGCCGTGGCTAGTGACTTTAGGGCCCCCCCCCCAAACATTCCATTAGGGCCCCAAAGTTTTTTTAAATGCGTTTAAATTGACATTTTTTTTTTTCAAAAAGCGCAAGGCGTATCTTTTATAATGCACCGAACATATTTTTAAGTAGTCGTTCACGAGAAAAAAAACAATAAAATTAACCCTTTAATTTAATTAAGTATATTTTATAATTGTTATATTTATTAAGAGTTTAAAACAAAAAGTTTCTTTGACTACTGTGAATGTATTAGGCATTCACAGGTCAAAAAAAAGGTTTGCGTCGTGTTTTCATACTTGCAAACTTATTTATTAAGCCTTCATAACTTAATTTCCTTGCTACCTCGTTCTCGATTGACAGCATTGCTAGGGAAGACAAACGTTCATCGACCATTGTTGACCTACATAAAGATACAAAGAAATATAGTTATATGTGTTTAGGTATAAGGAAGTAAGAGTATTTATACTGACCTATGAAATGTTTTAATTAATTTTAACTTGCTAAAGCTACGTTCTGCACTTGCAACAGTTACTGGAGAAGTAAGAATGATGCGTAACGCAATAACTAGATTAGGATAAGTTTCCTGCAGCTCTTCTTTGTAGACGTAGTTAAGGAAGTCATATGCAGATTTCAGGTTTGTATTTTTGTCCTCTTGTACAACTATGACAAATCGTTTCAACTCCATTTCCAAATCCTCAGAATCTATATCCCCGAGCTTCGTTTGCAAATTTGTGCAAAATACAGTAAGAAAATTTTCATTACAGGCTTTGATAAGACTCTCAGACCGGTAAAGAAAGTCAAAAAGATTTGTGAAGATACTGACCTGTTCAAAACGCTCCTTTACTGATGCAATTGACATGTCAATGAGTGGCAAAAAGAAATCTGCTTTATACTGATGCTCAGGTTGCCGAGTTTCATCAGCACACTCGTATGAATACATTTTTTTTTTTTTTCGTAAGCGCACTGTTGGAAAAATCTTTTCAATGCCCAATTCCTCTGCAATTTCTTGTGCTTTAATATGTGCGTCAGTAAATCCAGTCTCACGATACTCATGAAGAAATGTATTTGTTGCTTTTATTTCACTAGCCAATATGTCAAGAGAGGTTGTAGAAGACTGAAGAAGCTTACTTGATTTGTTGATTTGAAATAAAACGTCATACCAAATAATGATTGATAATAAGAAAGGCCATGTCCTAATATATTCAATCAGAGATCGTACTTCTGTGGCTGTTGCCCCATCTTTCTTTTCAAAGGAAAGTTTTTCCAATCTGTCGAGTGCCCTATAAAATTTCTTTCAGATAATAGCGAAGTGGTTTAACACAGTTTATTTTACTTTCCCATCTTGTATCTGATTGTGGTTTGACAGAAATTTCCACACACGATTTTAAAATTTCCCATCGAGGAGGAGACGATGAAAAGAGGGTATACAATCTTGTAAGAACTCCAAAAAAAGATATTGCACTGATAGATGACAGTGCACCATCAACAATAACAAGATTCAGTGAATGATTTGCACATGGAACATATATAGCCTTTGGGTTCATTTCTAGAAGCCTGGCTTGAACACCTTTAAGTTTTCCTTTCATGTTAGCACCATTATCATAAGATTGGCCTCGACAATCAAGAATATTTAGATCCCATTTTTTTGCCTGATTTAAAAAGGCATCCAAAAGCCCTTTTCCAGTGGTATCATTTACTGTGAGATATCCAAAGAAATTTTCGGAAATGTTAATACCAACTCTAGAAGTACATGTCACTGATCTTAAAATTATGCTCATTTGTTCTTTGTGCGAAACGTCTGGCGTGCAATCTAAAATAACCGAATAGTATTTTGCTTTTTTTACCATAGAAAGGTTTTCTGATTCAATCTCCTGCGCTAAACATCTAATCAACTCGTTCTGTGTGTCATTGCTCAAATAGTGAGCGTTTGTTTTTTTGTCCTGAATTCTTAACAGAAGCTCCTTAAAGACGGCATCGTACTTAGCCAGTAATTCAAACACCCCAAAAAAATTTCCATTGCTCTTTGAACCAATTGCCGTGTCTGATCCACGGAATGCAAGATTTCTTGATGAAAGAAATAACGTAATGTCCAGTATCCTTTCCAACACAGATCTCCAAAATACCCGCTCTTTATGAAGCAACTTTTGTTGTTGCTCGTCTATGGTAGCTTGATTTGCTATGCCTGCATTGTCAAAATTGAAAAAAAATTAATGTTTTAGCAATAAAAAAAGTAACAAAACAAGTTAAATGAAATATCAGTTACCTTTTCGTAATGTCATCCAATGTTCAAAGCATTTTAAATGCGCACTGCATGTTTCGTGTTCTTTAAGTTTTTTTGATAAGCCTTCCCACGTGTTTATTCCTTTTCGAAAGGGTGAAGAAGTTATCCCAAAAAGTTTGCAACAGAAACAAAACACTTTATCACTATTTAAAGAATATATAAGCCATGATCTTTCAAAGATTTCTCCATTTTTCATTTTGCGGTTATAATAACTCATGGAAAATCGTCTTCTTTCTGAATTTTTTGGAAAGTCGATTTCAATCTTTTTTAAACCTCGTTTAACAACATCACACTTCTGAGCGTCAGAAACATTATCAGGCCAATCAGAAGGATCATCACTGAGAAATATTAGTGGATTTGTTGTGGCATTTGATTCACAGATTAAACCATGACTTACATTTGACTTTGCATTTGAGTCATAGATTAACCCATCTGACTCTAGTCTAGTACCCAAATAATCACAATCAAAATTATTTGTTGATATCAAAACACTGCTAGCCGGAACTGCTGGTTTTAAAAAATGTGTTAGTTTGGGGTATTTCATGATTTTCTCCATGGCTGCAGCTTTTTCTCTTCTTTTAGTGGCACCACTTTTCACTTTTTTCATTCCAATAATTCCAAAATATTGTAAAAAACTAAGAATGAAAGATAATTATATTTTTTGCTAGGCATAAAACATAAGTAATAGAAATAATAGTAATAAAATAAACTTTACCGTGGTGAATTGGTAAACAGTTGAATTACCAGCAAATTATAGTTAATCAATAAATAACCTAATTAAAAATAATAAATTCGCTTGTAATCATAAAATAAGCGACATACTTGAAAATATATTTCCCCACGAAACGCTGTTTAATGGTTTCTCATTAGCGCGCTAGTAACATCAAACAAACCGCTAAATAACATCAGACAAACCGCTAAAATAACATCAGACAAACCGCTATAGTGGTTTCTCAAAAAACTTCTAACCAGTGGGGTGCGACTCGGCAAAATTTGCATTAAATTCTTGTAATTGCTGACGCAAAGGCTTCTGGGATGTGTAGTACAGCCAGATTGTAAACATAAACAACGAAATACAAATTAAAAAAAAACAATATATACTTTTCTATCGCATAATACAGCTGATTTTTATATACTTTTTCTTTCAATTATTTTAAGTTGACAAACTATAGTATAGAATACTAAACCATGTCTGCTGGATTTTGCGCAGCTCCTAATTGTCATCATAAACGAGGAAAAAATGTTGATAAAAGTGTGTCGTTTTTTCGCTTTCCAAAAGACATATATATATATATATATATATATATATATATATATATATATATATATATATATATATATATATATATATATATATATATATATATATGTATATATATATATATATATATATATATATATATATATATATATACATATATATATGTATATATATATATATATATATATAATATATATATATATATATATATATATATATATATATATATATATATATATATATGTATACATATATACATATATATATGTATATATATGTATATATATATATATATATATATATATATATATATATATATATATATATATATATATATATATATATATATATAATTTTTATTTCAGATGTAAGCAGTGATCTCGACAAGAAAACTTCATTAGAACTAAATAAATCATACGCTCTATGCAGTAAACATTTTGAGCCAACACAGTATTATCCAACAAATATTGGAGGCAAAAGAGCAATTTTAACAGCCATTCCGACCCTTTTTGATGTACCAAATCCTCCTCACAAAATTTCTATTAAAAGAAAAGCACCTTCAGAAAGATTTCTTCCTCAGTCACACAAAAAAAGTAAATCAATTTCTAATGAACAGTCTGTAAAGTTAGCAGTTGTTTCTAGTACAGACACTACCAACTCAGAAGATTTAAATATAAATGATAAAGCTAAAAAACAGATGTTAAATTTTCAAAAAGTAATTAACTTAAATCGTGTTAAAAATTATCGTTTAAACAAAAAACTATTGTTTTTAAAAACACAAAATAAAAAATGCAAGGGATCTATTGAACATATTTGTGATCTTGCAAAGAAATACCTTTCTGAAAACCAGATTAAATTTTTTGAGAGTCAACTTAGAATGAACAAGCGAACAAAACATGGAAAAAGGTGGACAATACATGACAAACTAGTTTCTCTACGCATCTTGTATCATAGTCCACAGGCATTTCGTATTTTGAGGCAAATTTTTACTTTGCCAAGTAAGACAACTCTTCTTATTTTTTTGTCAAAAGCATTTGGAAACCTACAGCCTGGATTTTCTGCAAAAGTTTTTGCTTTACTCAAAATGCGAGTCAATTATATGAATGTCAATGAACGCAACTGTTGCCTTGTATTTGATGAGATGTCTCTCAAACAGCATGTAGACTATAATTTAAGATAATGCATGTAGACTATGATTTAGGTAATGTAAAACCTTTGATACTAATAAAGGATTTGAAATTACAAATATGTTCTGAAACTGTAGAATAGAGTTTATGTTCTCTTGCTGGTTGGCTAATTAAAAAAGTCTCTTTATGTCAATTATGCACAAATATTTTATCTCAACCATCTGCTGAAATCTGTGGTAATTTTGATGAATTTGTCTATACTAAGAAATATGAAACAAAAAATCATTCAATAGAACCAAGTTCTTGTTTACGCGAAGTTGTAAGAGTAATAGAAGCCATTTTCACTAACAACATTAATAAAATAATTGTATGCAAAAATATAGCAGGAACTATCATTAAAGCTATCAAGAAAGACTGCAATTTCGTTTTTTTATACAACCTCCACCCAAAACATGCATCGCATTTGGAGAGAAAACTGATACACTATTTTGTTGATATTCGAATTTATTATTTCATCACATTTTACAATTGTGACATAGCTCCACGTTATAAAAAATGCCTTAAAAAAATGGCTCGTATTACTCATAAATAGTAAAAGATTATATTTAGTTAAAAAATGTGTATTTATTTAAAATGTACTAAATTGAAATTATAAATTCTAATATCCTTTAATTTTTTTATATTATATATAAGATTAGGATAATAAAAATAGCAAAAACATATATAAAAGTATAAAAAAACAATATTGAAAAAATATCAAAACTAGAAGGAACGTTTGAGTTGTTTTATACTAACAGAGCTCAATAAACAATTCATACAGCAGTTGTATAATTTTAGGCTACTAAATAAAATGTCTAAATATTGAAACATTTACAAAACTATAATATACCCTTATTGTAGGGTTGTTAAAAATTTTTCTTATGTTTAGTTGAAACCCTGATTGCTGTCTACCATACAGTTATATTATAAACATTCTAGCATACTGCAGAGGGTAGTTAAGAATTGAAACGTACATATATTGAAAAAAAAAACAAGTTTATATAACTAATACGTTTACTTCGTTAGACAATGTAACATTTGTAACAATGTTACATTGTTCAGATGATTGTTACAATAATTTTTACATTGTTAGTAAACAGTGTAGCAATATACAATTTTAAAAAAGCTGTAATATATAAGTTTAAAATAGTATGACATTTAATTTATGGCATTTAATGTTTGTATTTTTGTTATATTTTGAACATTAAAAATAAAATTGAATGTTATTTTTTATTGTTCAAAATATAACAAAAATACAAGCTTTAAATGCTATAAAAAGTTTTATACTAACATATTCCCGCATTTTCAAAATAAACCATTTAGTTTACAAGTAAAAAAAGATTGATGCTACATCTTATTAAAGCATTATTGTTTAAAAATAAGTTAAACCATCTTTACAAAAGCATTATTCTGTCAAAACGTATTTACATACGTATTGTTGTTTACAAATCTGGCTGTACTAGACATCCCAGAATCCCCGTTCGCCGAATTACAAGAAATCGAGCGAGTCGTACACCACTGCTTCTAACAAAACAAAAGAACTCGGAGTTTAAATTGTTTTTGCGTAAAAATGACTTTTGCTTTTTAGTACTTTTTAGCATGCATAACTTAGTTAATATAATGGTTAAAATGCAAATCTTTTTACTTCACTTAAACCCTTTTAAAGTTAAAAGATATTTTAATTTTTAAAAAGGGCCCCTAAAAATACTGGGCCCCCCCAATTGGGGGGTTTGGGGGTGCCTAGCCACGGCTCTGTATATATATATATATATATATATATATATATATATATATATATATATATATATATATATATATATATATATATATATATATATATATAATTTAAATGAAAAAATGCAACTTTATAATGGAACTTAAAGTTTCATGCTATTCGGCAATTATCAGCCATAATAAAGGAAAATAAAAAACCGTTATAAAAAATACAAATTTAGCGTTGCAACGGCATCTGACGTCAATTATACGTGATCCAATAATTGCTAAGCGCCGGAATCGAAGTTAGATAATAAAAATTTATATCATTAGCGGTAAGTTTGTTGCGCATAATTTGTTAGTTGTGTGAATTAATAACTGATCGAATATTTGGCGTGCAGCTGTAATTAATTTTTAATGTGCTTCTGTTGAATATTTTGTGGAGCTTATGATGTAATGGAAAATGCAAGTCAATTGAATTTAAGAAAAGGTGCCTAATTTTTGTTACCACATTTTTACTGTAAGGAGGATTGCACCATATAATATTTATTAGTATAAGAAGGATCACGGTCGTTTACGAGCGCTATGTTTAGGTGCGCATGCGTGAGAAAATGCAAAAAAAAATTTGAACTTTTAAAATGGCTATGGTTCGGTAAGCGAAAGATACTATGACTCAAAATGAGGTTTTGATTTTTTTTAAAAACGAAGACCAGATATATTACTGATTTGAGGAGAAATGTGCTACATCGATTGATCTGTACCTGTCTTAACCCAAACGCTCAGTCGATGTAGCAGCATTCCCTTGCATGTTATCCCTAAATAAGTCAATGTAGAAGCACTCTCCTACATTTCTCCCCAATTCAGTAATATATCTGGTCTTCTTTTTTTAAAAAGTCAAAACCTCATTTTGAGTCATAGTATCTTTCGCTTGCCCTATGGTTCTTAACTACAGAGTATATTTTATATGGAAACCGTGTTATTTGTCATTTGATCTCTAAAAACTCAATGTTGTAGACTTATTTTTATGTAGATCACTATATTATTACAAAATTTTCACAAAAATATAAATAAAAAAAGAATAAAAAATATCTTAGAGTACCTAAACTTTATTTTCAATTACCAACTTTTTAGTGTAATTCATATATTTGTTTATTTATTTAAAATCAATTTTCTAAAAATCTGACTGTAGGAACTCAATAATTTTTTTTTAAACTTCAGATAAATATGTTCTATATTTATGATATTTTTCTGGTCACTGCTTCAACTTTTTTTCAATATAAATATGTATATATATATATATATATATATATATATATATATATATATATATATATATATATATATATATATATATATATATATATATATATATATATATATATATATATATATATATATATATATATATATATATATATATATATATATATATATTATAAATATATATATATATATATATTTATAATATATATATATATATATATATTATATATATATATATATATATATATATATATATATACATATGTATACATATATATATATATATATATATATATATATATATATATATATATATATATATATATATATATATATATATACATATATATATATATATATATATATATATATATATATATATATATATATATATATATATATATATATATATATATATATATATATATATATATATATATATATATATATATATATATATATATATATATATATATATATATGTATATATACATACATACACACATATATGTATGTGTGGGTGGGTGTACAATAATACACATGTGTGTGTATTATTGCAC